CACCATGGCGCGGCGGAAGAGGTCCGCGTCGACGCCGTCCACCACGCCGTCGTCCCACGCCGGCTTCGCCACCTCGGGATCCACGACGCTCAGGATCGCCAAGGCCGGCAGCACCAGCAGCAGCGCCGCCGCGCGCACCATGGCCGTCGTGCCCAGCTTAGGGCACGCCGGCCATTGGCTTTGACTCGGAATCTTCTCCATAACGGGTACGTCGTGTAGTTACGGTCTACGAGAGCATTCTAACGCATCGATCCACTGTCGCCGCTAGTTATGCGTGCATGGCACCTGACTACGTTGGTGTGTGCGCGCTTCGATTCGAGAAACAACTTCTAGGATGGATAGACGGGATGGGAGTGAGCGGGGGAAGGCCGTTGCACCGAAAGGGTGAAGGGGAGAGCGGTGCGGCGAATGAGAGAGCGGTGGGGTGAGGTTGCGGATACAACGAAGCCTTGTCGTGCAGGGAGGCGGAAATACACCATTTTTTGCCCTGGCGCACGCACGCTGTGCGAGTGGGCGCGATTGTTCGAAGCTCCAGTAGGCATGGGGGTGTCAGCGCACCACAGCTGTTTCGGTCAGAGAGGTTCGGTCGGCTTCGCTGCACTCGTGTCTGGGCCCAGTGAAGGGCTCACCGAACCGAATAGTGTGTTGGGGTTTCCCAACCTGCTCCGCCACATCAGTCTCCCATCTGCCGTGACAAGGTGAGAGCTTCGTTACGGAGTCTCGGCGTCCACCGCTACAGTAGTTCCGTTGGGGTCGGGCTGGAGATAAAGCTGGGGAACGCGTACATTTATGAAGCTGTACCGATATATTCATACAGTTATCCAAGTGTTTTACCTGTATGTCTTCAGGTGACGGAGATGGCCTCCCCACCTTTGAAGTTCAACTGTAGCTCTAGAGGTTCAGAGGTCTCAACTCCCCTGTTTGAAAGGCAAATAGCCTATGCAAAGGCAAGTGGACGGTTGGGTCGGGAGTTGGTGCAGACTCCACAATGCCTTTGGGTAGAACGAATGAGGGTGGCAGTAGATCGCAGGAGTAGAGAAGCGAGTTGATTATTTGTAGAGTGTCGCCATGACTCACCAGCACCACCACTTTCCTGCACAACGAGAAACCCCTCATTACCTAGTGCGTGGACTGATCAAACCATCAAATACCCTTATAGGTGTATAAGTTGATTTCAAGTATCAATAAGGACTACCTCAGCCCCTTGATTCAATTTGCAAGCATGCATTTTGGCGCATGCAGATCCACTCACCCGTCCAGAGCCTCTTCAATGTGCCGAATGAGGTGCGCCGTTCTCTGCGCCACCGCCACCACACTCTCCCCGTCGCCACCCGGGCGGGATGCAGCGTCCTACCTGTCGTCCACCCACACTGCTAGGTACTGCCACACAGCGCAGAGGGGAGGTGAAGGGGAGGGGGGAGGAGCTGAGGACAGGGCTGCTTCTCATGAGAGGAGCAATGGAGGCGCGTCAGAGGTGAGGAGGCGGCACACCATGCAGAGATACTCGGCTGGTGGTGAGCGTGCGAATGCGTGTGTGCGTGCGTGTGAGCAAGGGAGAGTAAGACAGCATGGGAGAGAGGAAGTGGCAGCAGGGAACGCACGAGGTCATGCGAGTTGAGCTCCAGGTGGCGCCCGAAGTAGCGCTCCCTCAGCTCCTCCGCTGTCTGCACACCACACGGCATGCACATCCACAAACGACCATGCCACTCGGCATTCACATTCGGGAGGGCCCCATGCACGCAGGAGTTTGCTCGTGAGGCACCTTAAAAACAGATGATAGCGTGGACATGGGAGGGAGAGAATGGTGGAAGGGTGGCAAGGCGTGAAGACAGCGGGAGGTGGTGACATTGAGTGACAACGAACTGGGGGGGCATGTCTGCTCGTGGCCGGAGTCGGATGACGGGCATGTGAGCAGTGACCAGGGGCCAGCAGGAGCGAAGCAGCAATGCGACCATGGGAGCAGAGCAGGGAAACGGGATGGAGAACGGGAGGGGAAGGAAGGGAGGTGGGGGAGGGGGGCTGTGGGAAGCGAAGGAGAAAGAGGTTTTGGAGGCATGGCATGGGGACCCCAACCCACCCCACCCCACCCCACCCCACCCCACCCCACCCCACCCCACCCCACCTGGAAGCGCGTGCCTTGCACGTTGATGCCCAGCTCCGCAGCAGCGAGGGCGGCCGTCTGCTGCGTGCGGGTGAAGGGCGACGCCATCACCACCACGTCCCTCCCCGCCACTCCGCGCTGCTCCAGCAGCTGCAGCATGCACAGCACGAGAGGAGTGGGGGACGCACAGCACAGCACGGGGGGGAGGGTGGGGATGCACAGCACGAAAGGGGGGGGGAGATGCAGAGCAGTGAGGACGGGCGGGGTGGATGCGTGCAGCACCCTGTGCCCGTCAGCTGCAGCCCAGCACTTTCACGTGCTCGCTTTCTGTCCTGAGGGGGCACACGCAACATGCCATGTCACCACGCATTCCCCCACCTGCCCGCCACCCTCCCCCTCTCACCTGCCCGCCACCCTCCGCGCTCACCTCCCTCAGCTGGCGCCCTGCTCGCTGCGCCTGCTGCCTGCCCTCCGCCGCCAGCCCAAACTCCGCCGACACCCCGTTCGCCTGCCACGCACCGTTCGGGGGAGGAGGGGGGAGGGGAAGAGGAAGGGGAGAGGGGTGGTTGGGCGGGGAAGAGCGGGAGGAGGCAGCAGCGCTTGGAGAGGCAGCAGTGCTTGGGGAGGCGGCAGGTGGGCAATACTAGGAGGCACACACGGGCGCAGCTGGGGGAAGAAGGGCGGAAGGGCGGTGCGGCGGGCAGGGAGCGCCTCACCAGGCTGCTGACGATCAGTCCTCTCTCATTCGCCAGGCTCCGCCCGTGCCGCAGCAGCACGTATCTATTCCGTAACGTCTCAGGCAGCCCAAACCGCTCTCCGCTCGTCAATCCCGCGCTCGCGGCGCCATTTGCGTCTTCCGCTAACGTTCGCGCGCACCGTCCCTGCGCCTGTCCCTCCCCGTCACCCGCGGAGCACGTGCGCATTCCCCCCACCTCCTCCACCGCCGCTGGTTCCGCCACGCCCGCGGGCATTCCTGCGGCGAAGGCAACGGCGGCAACGGGCGGCAGCGCGAGGCCGTGCGCGACGAGGAGCAGCAGGAGGGCGGCGGACGCGGGGCCGGCGAGCAGCGCGCGGAGGCTTAGGGTTGCGTCATTCGCGGAGGCGAGGGGCTGTCGTGCCGGTGGGTCGACGCCGCATGCGCTGCGCGCAGCAGCAGATGGTGCAGCTGTCGTCGCAGGCTGAGCAACGGCGGGGGTTTCGTGGGCCCTCGCAACAACGACGGGCCGGCAGGGTGGCGTGGGGAAGCGGTGGTGAGGAGAGGGTAATGGCGCACGACGGAGCAGGTGAGTCAGGCGCTGCGAGTGCCACGGCAGCGTGGGTGGGAAAGGCGTTGCCGCGGACATGAGAGCACGCTGGCAGTGCGGTGGTGCGGAGGAACAAAGCACGTTATCCTGGAAAATGCTTGCTCTGTTGCTGGATGGTCTTGTGGGTATGCAGCACTAAGGCAGGGTCAGCAGAGTTCAGGGCGTGTTTGACGCGGTTTGAAACGGTCAGCCAGGTTTGGGAGCGGTTTCGGTTCTAACCGCTTTTAGCCACCCAGCCTCCTCAAAACGCGACCTAAACTATATTTCTATATTCGCGTTATGTACTATATTTCCATATTTCTATGTGCATTGCACTTCCCCACAGTTTCCCACTCCAGAAAAATGTTTTTTTTTGGCACCAAGATATAGATTTCCAGTGAAAAAAAAATCATACTACTGCAATCCTCTGCCAAATCATTGTCTTGAATGAAGTTCACTCAATCTCCATGGCTAAATGGCGTTCCAGACATCTAAGGCCAAACTAAATGGCACCATAGCACTAACCAAGAAGACCAGTGACTTGCACTGCAGCAAACCGAGCAGCACTGCAGCAAACCAAGCAGCACTGCAGCAAACCAAGCAGCACCGCAGCAAACCAAGCAACACCGCAGCAAACCAGGTAACACTGCAACAAACCAAGAAAAGAAGCACAGCAGCAAACCAAGAAGCACTGCAGCAAACCGAGCAGCCCTGGAGCAAAGCAGACAGCCCTGCAGCAGGCGAGCAGAGTGAATGATGCCTAAACGCAGAGGTAGCCGAAGCAGTTGACAAAGTTCATGACGCATTGCAGACCGGTGCAGCGCCAGTCGTTGGGGCACATGACAGGCGAGGCAGAGCCACACACGACGTCTGCACGCACAAACACAGGCGCAGGTGGGTGGGGCGAGGAGAGAGGGAAGGAGAGAGTGAGGTGCAAAGGAAGGCAGTGGTGAAGATGGCAGCCAGCAACAAGCACCTACGTGCACCAGCATCAGCAGCATCTCACGCCCTCCCCCCAACGCCCCATCTTCCTCCCTGAGGACCCGACACTTACTGACGCAAGCCAGCGGCAGCGTGGCAGCGCCGACAGCATTAGGAGTGCCGGCGTTGAAAGGCGCGGTGGCGTCGACGGTGCAGACGCCGCGGCCGTAGCACAGCATGCCCTGCCCCGTGGTGGACTCGCAGAAATTGCACCCCGAGGCGCGCTGCCCCATGCCCTTGGTGGCGCACGCGGCGGCGTCTTTGAAGCAGTTGCTGTTGGCGCCACATGACGTGGCAGTGTTGGCCGGGAAGGTGCCTGAGAGGAAGTTAAAGCCCACGTCGAGGTCCTTGAGTGCTGCCGACACCGGCGGCACGCGGTATGTGAGGTAGTTGTAGGACAGGCCACTGGCACAGGCAGGACGAGAGGGAGTTGAGGGGGGGGGGGGGGGGGGTTGGCAGGGTGGGGGAGACAGGAGAAAGAGGTTGGAAGAGAGGATGGAGGGGGGCGCAGATATGCTGAGCTATTCCATGGTTCGGGATGTTACGGCTGAATGATCCGTTTGGGTGAAAAGAGGTTCGGAAAGGAGAAGCAGAGCACAGGGCAATTGGGGGGTGGCGGTTGGAGAGGGACTGACAGGCGTGTGAGCTTGGGCATGCCGATGAGCGCCGGGGACAGACTGCCAAAGAACCAGTTGAAGTCGAGTAGGCTGCAGGAGACACATGCCCAGACACATGCAGGCACGCACATGTGCACACGCACGGCACGTGCACGCACCCGCACCCACACACACACAACCATGCACGCACCCACGCACACCCATACGGACATGCACACAGTGATAGCAGCACACACGCACCCATTGGCACACACAATGGAAAACAAAAGGGCACGGATAGTGGGTAAGTTGGCAAGGCAAGATGTGGTGTTGGAGTAGCTGACAAAACAAGTGGTGCTGTGGGGTGAGCAGCGACTGGTGGTGGGCTGAGAAGAGTGCAAGCAAGCAATGCAGTGCGGTGCGCAACAGGAATGGGAGGCGACTCACAGCACTGCGAGGTTGGGCAGCAACGGAATCTTGCTGCCAAACTCCTCCAGACGTGCCTTGAAGAGGTTCGACTTGAGTGAGCTGCAGCAAACACCCCAGTTTCACACGCGGGAAAGGGGGAGAGAGGAGGGGGGAATGGGAAGGGGGAGATAGGGAAGTGAATGTGAGTAGGGTCACAATGTGATTCAAAGCTATGCATGGACAGACTGGAAGATATGAGTGAGCATGCAAGTGCTTAGGTGGAAGTTGTGCTTACATGACAGAATATGAGTGCTTAGGCAGAATTTCTGCTTACATGAATGTGAATGCTTAGGCGAAAGTTATGCTACTTGAGTGCCGATTCTTACATAAACGTGAGTGCCGTGAGCTTGGTGATGTCAGCATGCAGAATGCCAGACAACTTCTGACTGTCCAGGGTGCTGTCAAGGGGAAGGGGTGGTGGTGGTGTGGGAAGGAAGGCGGGAGCAAGTGGAGAGAGTGAAGAGAAGTGCGCCATGGTAGGCGCAGGATGGGGAAACAGATATGGGAGGGGCCAAGTGAGAAATGCGAAGAAAACACACTAGAGCGTTTGAATGAGAGTTTCCTTGCTTCTCTCCCTGCCCTCCTCTCCAAGCCTCCCCTTCAAATTCTCCCCATTGGAGAAGCAGCTGCAGGAAGGCGAACCTTGGAACCTCCCCTCTCTGATGCTCCCCTGCACCCCTTTCCCTGGTGCTTGGTGCTCACATCTTGACGGGCTGGCCCGCACTGTTGCACTCAACGCCGGAGAAGCCACCACCGCCGGAGCTGCCGACAGCATTGCAGGTGGAGGAGGCCGCCCAGTTGGTGTACGTCACTCCCAGCGCCGTCTTGATGTTCATCAGCGCCGATGCTGGTGGGGGGGGGGGGGCGGTGGAGCACATGGGTAGCAGTGGTGAGAGGCATGGGCGTTCACATGAGGAGAGATGAGAGGCATGGGCATGCACATGAGGAGGAGAGGCATAGGCATGCCGCATGGACATGGGCAGCAGAGGTGAGATGCATGAGCATGGGCCGCCAGCAGCACGATGGCAGCAGCATGAGGCACAGCCACAGTCGTACCTGCAGTGGCGTCGGTGGTGACAGGCGGAACAGGTGGGCAGGTGAGGGCGAGCACGGGGGTGGAGGTCGTTGGAACGGCCGTAACAGCCTTCACGGCAGCCGGGTCAGGCTGGCAGGCAACTGTGCCGCCACACAGGGTGCCTGTGGCATCCGCGCTGTTGCAAATAGCGCACGAGGGCCGCTGCGTGATGCCCTGGTTGTTGTTGTTCTTGCAGGGCGTGGGGTCGTTGAAGCAGTTGGCGCGCGCCGTGCAGAAGTACCAGTTGGCGGTGGAGGGGAACTTGCCGTTCAGCCAGTTGTTCTCCAGATCCAGCACCTGCAGTGCTGTGCCTGGCACCGGGACCGTGCCTGTGAGGTAGTTCCACCCCAGGCTCCTGCGCTCACCACATGCACGCACATGGGGACGGGGTGGGGGGAAGGTGAGTGCAATGGCATGACACACGGTGCAGCAGGGCAGGATATGCGGAGGGGAGAGCGGTGAACTTTGGACAGGGTGGTTGAAGGGGGGAAGGGTGAGGGCGCTCACAGCATGTAGAGGCTCTTGATGGCTGAGATGGTGGAGGGGATGGAGCCCGAGAAAAAGTTGTAACTCATCACCCTGCACGCGGCACAACGAGGGAGGGAGGGCAGTGGGGGGTAGAGCAGGTTAGGGATGAGCCGAGACAGGCAAGAAGAGGGCACAGAGAGGAGTGGAGAACAAGGATTGTGAGAAAGGGCGGGAGACGAGAGAGGGCAAGGTGAAGCGTGGAAGGCGTACAGGTATTTGAGGGCGGTGAGGCCGGTGAGCGGCGAGATGAACGGGTCCAAGGGGCCCGACAGGAAGTTGCTCGACAGGTCGCTGTAGGGGGGCACACAAGGGGGCAGTGGCCAGTGGGGAGTGGGAAGTGTCGGCATGAGCGCACGACGGAGCAGAAGGACCAGCCTGTGTGGAGGGGCCCTTGCAGGGGTATGAACGGAAACTAGACCAGCGTGAATGAGGGGTGGCAATGAGCGGTGGGTGGGGCGAGCGGCACTGACAGGGCGGTGAGAGCGGTGAACTTGGAGATGTCGGGGTGCATGACGCCACGCATGAAGCGCTGCTTGAGGTAGAAGTCCACGACGGTGCCCTGTGCGTTGCAGTACACCCCCCACATGTCGTTGGGGCCCTTCAACTGGTTGGTCACCGTGCACAGCGTCCCAACTCCCCACTCCTGGTGTGGCACTCCCAGTGCCGTCTTCATGTTCGCCAGGATAGGCACTGTGGGGAGGGGGTCACGCAGAGGAGTAAACAGGGGGGTGGGCGGAGAAGAGGAGCGGGTTAGGGGGAGCAAAGTGCAGCGACGGCAGGGGGCAGCAGCAGAGGGAAGAGGCAGAGGGACGCACGGGCGGTTGGGTCGACACGGACGCCAGTGCAGACGAGTGGCAGCACGAGCAGGGAGGGGCCGTTAGGCGTCTTGGTGGCGAGCTGTGTCGCGGTGTTGGGCGCACACACTCCCCCACCGCACAGCACCGTGGACGCATTCGCAGCACCGCAGATGGCGCAGTCGGCAGCAGCGCGCTGAATGGAGGTGCCGACGCTGTAGCACTTGGAGGCGTCGGTGAAGCAGTTGCTGCGCGCGTTGCACAGCGTGGTGGAGCCCGCGGGGAAGGTGCCCGCCAGGAAGTTGTAGGAGAAGTCGATGGTCTTGATGGACGGTGCAGGCACGCCCGTGAGCGTGCCCGTGAGGTAGTTGAACTGCAGGTTGCTGCAGGCGGAGAGAAAAGGGGGGAGGGGGGCAGGGTAGTGGAGGGTGGGAGGGAGATGAATTGGAAATGGTGAATGGTACGTGTGGTTGGTAGTTGGAGAGGGTAGGGCGTGGGGTGTGAGAAGGGGTGAGACTAGCTGGAGGTAGATACACAAAGGAAGTCTGAGGGAGACCAATAAACATGAGCGTGTGCATTATGTGTGCGTGAGTGTGTGTGTGTGTGTGTGTGTGTGTGCGTGCATGCGTGCTTGCGTGCGTGCGTGCGTGCGTGCGTGTGTGTGTGTGTGTGTGTGTGTTGTGTGTGTGTGTGTGTGTGTGTGTGTGATAGGGGGGGAGAGGGGGGGGAGCACTTACAGCGTTGTGAGGGAGGAGAGAGTGAGCAGATAGGATGGCAGAGGGCCGGAGAACCAGTTGTAGTTGAGAGCGCTGTTTGAGAGGGGTGGAGAAGGGTGGAGAAATGGGTGGAGAATGATGGAGGGCGGGCAGGAGGAAGAAGTGAGGCGGGAGATTGATGCGGTCGCAAATGATTGCAGGGCAGGGCAGGGCAGGGCAGGGAAAGGAGGGCAGGCAGGCTGGCAAGCAGAGGGAGGGCTGGGGTCACAGGGAGGGCTGGGGTCACAGGGAGGGCTGGGGTCACAGGGAGGGCTGGGGTCACAGGGAGGGCTGGGGTCACAGGGAGGGCTGGGGTCACAGGGAGGGCTGGGGTCACAGGGAGGGCTGGGGTCACAGGGAGGGCTGGGGTCACAGGGAGGGCTGGGGTCACAGGGAGGGCTGGGGTCACAGGGAGGGCTGGGGTCACAGGGAGGGCTGGGGTCACAGGGAGGGCTGGGGTCACAGGGAGGGCTGGGGTCACAGGGAGGGCTGGGGTCACAGGGAGGGCTGGGGTCACAGGGAGGGCTGGGGTCACAGGGAGGGCTGGGGTCACAGGGAGGGCTGGGGTCACAGGGAGGGCTGGGGTCACAGGGAGGGCTGGGGTCACAGGGAGGGCTGGGGTCACAGGGAGGGCTGGGGTCACAGGGAGGGCTGGGGTCACAGGGAGGGCTGGGGTCACAGGGAGGGCTGGGGTCACAGGGAGGGCTGGGGTCACAGGGAGGGCTGGGGTCACAGGGAGGGCTGGGGTCACAGGGAGGGCTGGGGTCACAGGGAGGGCTGGGGTCACAGGGAGGGCTGGGGTCACAGGGAGGGCTGGGGTCACAGGGAGGGCTGGGGTCACAGGGAGGGCTGGGGTCACAGGGAGGGCTGGGGTCACAGGGAGGGCTGGGGTCACAGGGAGGGCTGGGGTCACAGGGAGGGCTGGGGTCACAGGGAGGGCTGGGGTCACAGGGAGGGCTGGGGTCACAGGGAGGGCTGGGGTCACAGGGAGGGCTGGGGTCACAGGGAGGGCTGGGGTCACAGGGAGGGCTGGGGTCACAGGGAGGGCTGGGGTCACAGGGAGGGCTGGGGTCACAGGGAGGGCTGGGGTCACAGGGAGGGCTGGGGTCACAGGGAGGGCTGGGGTCACAGGGAGGGCTGGGGTCACAGGGAGGGCTGGGGTCACAGGGAGGGCTGGGGTCACAGGGAGGGCACTGACAGGTGGCGGAGCGACTTGAGTGTGGAGAGAGGCGAGGCCCACTCGATGAGGCGAGCCTCCAGCAGGTTCAGAGCCATGTTGCTGCGGATTGCCGGGGGGGGATCCAGGGGATAGGGGAGATTGGGCAAAAGGCGAAGGCCAGGAAAGGGTGAATGAGCGGTCATGACTGATGGGTATGGCTCTAGCAGGAATGAGCAAAATTCTTGCATGAATGAGCACGGAGAAATAGAGAGGGGTGGCAGCGTGATGTTGCAGGTACAGGTGTGGGAGCACGTAAGGATGGAAGACGTGAGGCAGGCACTCACACGCGAGTGAGGCCAGTGAGCTTGGACACGTCAGAAGGCAGATTCCCCCGTAGCAGGTTGCCGGGCAGCTCCCTGCAGTGACGCCATCAACCAACCATGCCAGCATGCCAGCATGCCAAAATGTACCACCATGGCCACATCCAACGAAGGAGCAAGATACAGGAAAGGCATGAGTCAGGGCGCTCAAAGCAGTCACGGTACGTCTGCAATATTAGACAGAGTTTCCCACCTTCCCTGATTTCCCTGAGAGGAGACCCGGGAGGAAAATAAGCTGCAGCAGCAGATCTCCCGCTTTCATGATTTCTTCCGAGAGGAGCATCGCATACGGACATTCAGAGGAGCGAGGAACGCGGACTTTCAGAGGAGCGTCGAATGCGGGCATTGAGCACACATGACGCGTGGCACTCACAGCTGCACGACTTGGCCGGTGACATCACAGCCGACGCCCGCCCAGCTGGTGGCCATGGGCGGGTTGCCCGCCACGTCGCACGGCGAGTCCACCAGCCACGTGCTCTGCGTCACTCCCAGCGCCGCCCTCAGCACCAGCAGCACTTGCGCTAAGGGGAGAGAGAGCGGGGGAGAGAGGGGGTGGAGAGGAAGGGAGCGAGGCAACAAAGAGGGCAGTGAGAGGAGCGGCAGGCAACAAGAGGCATGTTGCAGAGTCTGCCATATGACACATCCGTGTGTGGATGTGTGTTAGTGTAAGTAGGTGCGGCATGTGGCACACTTATGTGGGCGTGCGGGCTCACCAGCAGTGGGGTCAATGGTGACAGGGGCGCAGTACATGGGCGGTGGAATGGACCCAAGGCCGTTCACAGTGCCGGCCGCCAGAGCGTCCGTGGCGTTGAGAATGCAGACAGTGCCGCCGCACAGGGGCGGGGCGGCGTTGCCGGTGCCGCAGATGTTGCAGCCGGAGGTGCGCTGAGCAACGCCGTAGGCGTTGTAGCAGGTGCCGAGGCCAGAGAAGCAGTTGTTTCGGATGTCGCAGAACTGGAAGTTTTGAGAGGGGAAGGCGCCGGCGAGGAAGTTGTGGTTGACGGCCAGGTAGGTGAGCTTGGCAGGCACAGCTGGCAGCGTGCCCGTCAGGTAGTTGGCACTCAGACGCCTGTGTTGGGGGAGCAGGGGTGGTGGGCGGCAGGTGAGTGAGTGGATGTGCGTGCGGATGGGTGGAAAAACCAGACATGGAGATCCGGATGAACTAAGGGCGAGAGAGGGTTGGGTATCAACAGATGCAGCATTGACCGCATCAATGCGCCGTATGCCACACACTGGCTGCATCAGTATCAAGTCTGAAAGGGACGGTGCGCAAGTATGTTTGGCAGACTCCCTGGAATGACTTGCACCTTGCCTGTGCTTATCAGTGCATCAGCACCAAGGTCATCTGAATGAGGAGCCTTGGATATGACTCACAGCGGCCCGTCACCCGCATTCATCACCTGACAGGCATCCATCACCTGACAGGCATCCATCACCCAAGGTTGTGCGATACTCACAGCGTTGTGAGTGATGCCATGTTGAAGAGCGTGGAGGGTATGCTGTCATAGAGGTAGTTGAAGTTGAGGTTGCTGGTGGGCGAGAGAGAGGCGCACAGGCAGAGGGGCGCACAGGCAGAGGGGGGCACAGGCAGAGGGGCGCACAGGCAGAGGGGCGCACAGGCAGAGGGGCGCACATGCAGAGGGGCGCACAGGCAGAGGGGCGCACAGGCAGAGGGGCGCACAGGCAGAGGGGCGCACAGGCAGAGGGCAATGCACCCATGCAGAGAGGCACGTCACGCCCACATGCAGAGGGAGGGGTTGCATGAGTGCAGAGAGGGGGACAGGGAGGGCCGAAACAGGGAGGGCTGAAAAAAGGGAACAAGGAACACACAGAGAGAAGGCGAGCAAGGTACTGCAGAAAGTGGAAGGCGGGCATGTGAGTGAGGGGTGGGTGGGAGGCGTGTGAGAGGGGGATGGGCGGGGGAGAGGGGCGAGCGGACGCACAGGGTGGCGATGGCGGTGAGCGGCGTGATGTTGGAGATGAAGGTGGAGAGACGACCGTACAGCAGGTTGTAGCCCAGATGCCTGCACACAAGGGGGAATGGAGGAGTATGCAGGGAGAAGAGGTGATGGTTGGGTAAAAGAAAGCTTGCAGATAAGGTGATGCACTTACATGTAAGGTGTTGGTAAGCAATGAACATGCAGGAAAGCCATGCACGTACATGTAGGTGAGTCCGGTGAGTTTGGTCATGTCCGCATGGATGGTGCCCCGCAGGTTCAGGTTGTTTAGAATGCTGTCATGGCAAACACGCATGGGGGGTGGGGTGAGAAGGAGAAGAGAGGCATGAGAGACTGGTGAGTTTGGTCATGTCTGCATGGATGGTGCCCCGCATGTTCAAGTTTTGTAAAGTGCTGCCGTGTTAACACGCACAGTGGGTGGGGCACGGGAAGGCAGAAGAGCTTTATGAGAGACAAATCTTGCACAAGGAGTGACATGCAGAGAGGTATGCATGAATAACCTTTATTTCTCCGGCTCCTACTCATTCCTCCACTACCTCACAAACATTCACTGTCGATCTGTTTGACTTACTTTTGCTAGTTCGAATTTGGTTCAAAGAAAAAAACTCAATTGTTGGACGGCTGGATGGCTCACAGGGAAATGACGGCACCGCTGCCGCTGCACCAGACGCCCGGCCAGGTCTTGGGGGCGATGTTCTGCCCGAGGATGTTGCACACGCTGTTGGTGCTCCAGTCCGAGTGCGTCACTCCCAGCGCCGCCCCGATGTTCACCAGCGCCGACGCTGCTCAGAGGGGGCATAAAGGAGACACATGTGAGCATTCGTAAGACATCCTTCTAAATCAAAATGGCCGTGTTATAGAGACACAGCGGAGGATATTCAACCCTTCAAGTAAGCCCGCGGGCGTTACAAAGCAGGCAGCACGGCGCATGTACACACCACTGCGGGATGAAGAGTGTTATGGCGCATGCAAGGCATGGCGGCGCAACGCAGTGCAGCAGGTATGGCATGGGCAGGGGGGGCACTCACAGGTGGCAGCGTCGAGGGGGAAAGCAGGGCACTTGAGGGCGAGGGTGGGCGCGGTGGCGCTGTTTGGCACTTTAGATGCCAAATACGCCGAGGGATCAGGAGTGCACACCGCCCCGCCACACAGCGGCAGCTGCCCTTTGGGCGACGCACACACGTTGCAGCCCGCGCCCCTCTGCGCGGTGCCATCGATGTTCACACAGGCCGATGCATCGAGGAAGCAGTTGGCCCGGGCGGAGCAGAAGGCAAGCGAGGCGGCGGGGAAGGTGCCAGATAGGAAGTTGTACTCCGTGTCGAGACCCTTGAGTGTGGCTGCTGGCTTGGGCAGCGTGCCCGTGAGGTAGTTGTTGCTCAGCACGCTGGGGGTGGGGGGTTTGCACACACAGGAGGTAAGGGGGTGTGTGAAGAACGGATGGGTGAAGGTGAGCTTGAAGCAGCATGGAGGACGGCAGAGAGTGTAAGGGAAGGGGCAGACAGGTAGATGGGGACGAGAAGTTGAGTGGAGGAGGGCATAGGGAGAGGGGTTTACAGGAAGGTGAGGGCCAGCATGTTGACGATCGTGGTGGGGACAGTGCCGTAGAACCAGTTGAAGTTGATGAAGCTGTTGTTGGGGAGAGGGATGCGGGAGAACGCACACACACATGCACACACGCACATATGCATACACATGAACATCCACACGCGGTACATGCACGTGCACATGCAGGGATAAGGTGCATTGTTGACACACGAAGATACATTATTCAGGGCCGCATTGGAATGGGCAGGAGAGAGCAAAAGGAAAGTAACGGAGGAATATGAGAGCAGAGGGCAGAGGCGTGGCGGCACTGACAGCTCCTTGAGGGTTGCGGCGGGCGTGATGGGCACGATGTAGGAGTCAAGGCGATTGAAGAAGAGGTTAGATGACAGCCGCCTGCATGCACGGCCAGTGTTCAGGAAGGGCGGAAGGGAGCGTGGAGGAGATTGTGAGTGAGGGGCGTGAGGGAGAGGGGGTAGTGGTGATGAGGGCAGCAACTGCGAAGCTGAGAAGCAACTGCTGCGACCCGCACAGCAGGTGGCACAGGATGTGATGAATGGATGGATTACAGCTCAGCGAGCGCAGCAGCGCCTTACAGCGAGGTGAGAGTTGGCTTACAGCGAGGTGAGGGTGGAGAGCTTGCTGATGTCGGAGTGCACTGTGCCACTCAACAGCTGGCTCCTCAGGTCCCTGCATAGCGGGTTTCAGGCAGCAGCACCAGGGGCACATGCAGTAGCAGCAGGGGCACACAGGGGCACGAGAGAGACGTCAGTGAGAGCCGCTCGAGCGAAGCACCCGTGCCGCACAAGCAAGGTAAGGTGAAGCAAAGACAGTCAGCAGGAGCAGCGGCACTCACAGGCCGACGATCTGGCCAAGCGGAGAGCAGCGCACGCCGGTCCATGACCCAGCGATGGGCGTCTGGCCATCGATGGTGCACGACCCCACCGCCTTCCAGTCGTACAGCAGCCCTGACCCCCTTCCTTGCAGCTCGCGCCGCTTCCCGGCCTTGGGCTTGGGCGAGGTGGCCTTGGGGGCGGCGAGCGTGGCGGCGGTCCAGTCAGAGAAGGTGACTCCCAGCGTGGTCTTGAGAGCTAACAGGATGTTGCCCTGAGTTGCATCCAGTGGCACGCCCACGCAGAAGCGCGGCAGCACTGCTGCCGTGGCGCTGTTGGGAGTGCTGCTGGCGAGAGGCCCAGTTGTGTCGGGCGCACAGGTGCCGCCGCCACACACGGTGCCCGAGCCGTCCAGCGTGTCGCAGACAGGACAGGCAGTCGCATCGCGCTGCACGGTGCCAAGTGTGGTGCAGGCGCCGATGCTGGCGAGGCAGTTGGCGGTGGCGGAGCAGGAGGAGAAGCCGGCGCCGGGGAAGGTGCCCGACAGCCAGTTGCCATCTAGGGCAATGGCCTTGAGTGCCGCGCCTGGAGTGGGCATGGACCCGTACAGGTAGTTGTAGCTCGCTCCACTGCGAGAAAGGGGGTGAGGGGAGAGAGGATGGTGAGGAGGGGATCGTTCCCCAGTTGAGTGTGGGGTGGCTACACGTGCGTCCTGGGGGATATATGGGTGTTTGTGCTAATTATCATACAAACATGCCCTTTTAACCCGGTCGATAGCAGGCTGGGTAAACACAGACTGCTTGGAGGTCAGAGTGCTTGGAGGTCAGAGTGCTTGGAGGGAGGTGGGGATAGGCTAGCTACGAGGAAAAGCTCACAAGGTGGAGAGGGTGGCGATGCCGACGAGGGCGGACGGGACGGGCCCTGTGAACCAGTTGAAGTCAAAGTAGCTGCATGGGGAAGCGGAGAGAAGCAGGGAGGGAGGGGAGGACAGGGTAAGGTGGGCAGGATGGGTTGGAAGCATGCAGTTCAGCAAGTGACGCCACCCACGGTGATGACACCCAGAGGATGCAGTGGCAGGGCGCTGTAGGCAAGGTCGTGCAGTGCGGAGCGGCGTGGTGCAGTGGGGTGGGCCAACTCCATCCACACAGCACGCACTCACGCTTCCTTGAGAGACGTGAGCGCCTTGAAGTTGGTGGTGAAGACATCCAGACGGCCCTCCAGCAGGTTGGTGCGCAGATTGCTGCCAGCGCCGCACGGAGCACGACAGCACAGAGAACAGAGAAGGGCAGTGTGGAATGAGCGAAAGACGGCAGCAGAGTGCACAAGAACAAGTACGCGAGTACAGGGGTTACTCTGAGTGGGCAGGTGTGTGGTACATGTATGTGCGGGTGATCACATGCGTGTGAGGCTGCTTACATGTAGGTGAGGGCGGTGAGCTTGGAGATGTCCGCATGCATGGACCCTTGGAGCTTCTGCTGCGCCAGATTGCTGTGCATTGACCAACGCCCACACACACACACGCATGCCCACACCCACAAAGGACATTTGTTGAAATCTGAAGCGTTTCAGCGATTCTGATTCCGAAAAGCACCCAGACCATGAGTGGTGCCCCAAGGGAAGTGCAGAACAAGCTTGCATACACTCACTGAGAGATGACTTTGGAACTCACAGCAGGATGGCTTCGCCTCGAGAGGCACTCACAGCGAGATGACTTTGCCCGAGACGTTGCAGACGACATTGGACCAGGCGCCTGGCAGCGGGGCCAGCCCCTGGATGGTGCAGGGCGAGTCCACCGCCCAGCTAGTCCGTGAACGTCACCCCCAGCGACGCCCTCATGTTCAGCAGCGCCGCCGCTGGGGGAGGGAGAGGGGGGATGGCGGGAGAGGGACAGGGCAGGGAGTGGATGGAATAGGAGTGGGTGAGAATGCGGGAGCAGTGTGGCTGCAAAGACGCACCCATGCTGAATTGGCTCAAAAAGGCATCAGACCAAGGCGCTAGCATTTCTGTTCCACACGCCCCATCCTCCCGCGCACTCACCCATGACGGGATCCATGGTGGCGCCGAGGCAGTAGAGCGACGCCGTGTCCGCGTTGACGGTGTTGGCCGCAATGAGTGCCGTGGCGTTGGGCGTGCAAGTGCCGCCGCCGCACATCCTGCCCGTGGCGTCGGGAGTCTCACAGATGGCACAGCCCCCTGCAGCGCGCTGGGTGGAGGCGGCGAGGCACTTGGAGGCGTCCTGCAGGCAGTTGCTGGCGCAGGCGACGGAGGTGGCGGTGGTGGTGGGGAAGGTGCCCACCAGGTAGTTGTTTGACAGGTCGATTGCCTTTAGGGTCGCTGGCAGCGCTGCCGGCATGCTGCCCGTCAGGTAGTTCAGGTTCAGGCGCCTGCAATACCCATGGCACAGCGGTGCACAGCGATTGCCGCGTAAGGGAAACGCGGGCAGGAGGGTCAGTGAAAAAGAGAGGCGTGGAGAGAGGAAGAGGAGAAAGGAGTTAAAGCGATGAGGCATGCACGTGAGCAGGAAATGAAAGAGGCTTCAGGCGAGAGTGGGCAAAGGTGGGAACAGGGCGACTTACAGTTCTGTGAGGGCAGTGAGGGCGGAGATGTTGGCTGGGAAGGAGCCCGAGAAGTAGTTCTGGTGGAGACGGCTGTGATGCACAAAGGCGCAGCACACAGGGGGATGGCATGAGTTCGAGAAGAGAGGCAGCGGGAGAATGGTGAAACGATGAACTAGAAAATTTCACAATAATGCTTACAGGGAGACGAGGGACTTGAGGGGAATGAAGGGCGCGAGGAAGGTGTCGAGGCGGTTGGAGAAGAGGTTGACCGACAGGTCCCTGCCGGGGGGCACAGCGCAGTACACAAATTACATAAGATGGAAGCGCACACACACATTCGTTGGTATTGTCTGGCAAGTGATGGGAATGACATACGAGGCCGCCGAATGGCATGCAATGGAATGGACGTGTAGTGGCAGGGCAGGTGACATGTGGAAACACAGTGTTGTAAGTGCAGAGAGCTTACAGTCTGGAGAGCATGGAGAGCTTCACGACGTCAGTAGGGAAGAAACCCGACGCCCTGACACCGTTGAGAACTCTGTGAGATGGCACGTGGCAGGCACACAGGCAAGAAATGAACCCAAGTATCGTTGCAATATGTGTGATGAATGAACAATGCTGGTGGTAACACACAATTGATGGCACAGGCATGAACACAGTGTGCCATGGTGCGTGCATCATGCTTGATGGCTGCCAACATGACACGTGCACGGCAATGCATGACGCATGCACAATGCGTGCATGGCAATGCATGACGCATGCACAATGCGTGCATGGCAATGCATGCCGGATGCACCAGCATAACCGGCATGGATGGGAGCGGGCGTGGGTTGGGAAGGGAGGAGGGAGGGGCGAGAAGAAAAAGGGGGCGTACATGTCGAGGACCATGCCGGAGGGGTTGCAGAAGACCCGGGGCAGTGTGCCGCTGATGTATGCCTGCCCTGCTATGGTGCACGTCGGCTGCGTCCACAGCCCCGGTACCATCGCCTGCAGCGCCGACGCTGCCAGGCACGGAGGGGAAGTGGGAAGGGAGAGGGGGGAATTGTGTTGACGGTGCAAGCTGTGCTTGAAGGTGCAAGCTGTGCTTGAAGGTGCAAGTTGTGCTTGAATGTGCAAGTTGTGCTTGAAGGTGCAAGTTGTGCTTGAATGTGCAAGTTGTGCTTGAATGTGCAAGTTGTGCTTGAAGGTGCAAGTTGTGCTTGACGGTGCAAGTTGTGCTTGAAGGAAGAACCTCATGGTTGCATTGCATTTGTGAATGGCCCTTGAAGGGACAAGGTCAGGAGCTAGCACAGCTCACAAAGGCGAGTGTGGAGGAGCGGGTGTGGAAGACTTAAGAGCGGGTGTGGAAGACTTGGTGTGGAAGACTTAAGAGCGGGTGTGGAAGACTTAAGAGCGGGTGTGGAAGACTTAAGAGCGGGAGTGGAAGACTTAAGAGCGGGTGTGGAAGACTTAAGAGCGGGTGTGGAAGACTTAAGAGCGGGTGTGGAAGACTTAAGAGCGGGTGTGGAAGACTTAAGAGCGGGTGTGGAAGACTAAAGAGCGGGTGTGGAAGACTAAAGAGCGGGTGTGGAGGACTTTGGACCAGGAAGGCCGGCGGGCAGTGCAGCACGGGGTGGGGGGGGAGGGGGGGGGGGGGGGGGGGTGGGGGGGGGAGAGGGAGGCACCTTGAGCGGCTTGGATGGGCACGGGGTCGCAGCGCATGACAGGCACGGGGTTCCACTTGTTGACCGCCGTGATGGGCGTGGGCGTGATGGGCACACACGGGTTGCCCATGCACGCCGTGCCCAGGGCGTCCGTCATGCCGCAGATCTGGCAGCCGAAGCTGGGAATCGGTAGGTTCGGGTAGACTGCGGGGCAGGTGGTGTAGGTGGTGATGCAGTTGTAGTAGGCCGTGCAGTACGTGGCGCTGTTGGCCGGGAAGGTTCCTGCCATGAAGTTCTGGTCCACCATGAGACGCTTCAGTGCGGTGGAGATGGGTGACGGGAACGTGCCGGTGAGCGCGTTCATGCTCAGCTCGCTGCACCGCAGGGGGGAAGGAAGGGGGGAGGGGGGTGGGTGGGAGGAGGGGAATGGAGAGTGAGAGGGACGAGCAAGAAAGGAGAGAAGCAAGGTTCAAGGGGAAAGGGCATGGGAGCAGGGGGTGAGGAACAAGGGGTGCAGGTTGCGGGCAAGGGCGATGGAAATGAGGTGAAAGAAGAAATGAGCAATGGATGGAGTTGCGACAGAACAGGGAGAATGGCAAAAGAGTTGCGAAGGAGTGATGAGATGGGCAGAGGTCGCACAGACAGGGTGGGGCACTGACAGGTTGGTGAGCTTGGAGAAGGAGACGAGCCAGAGGGGCACGGAGCCGTAGAGATAGTTGTTGTTGAGGCGGCTGCACGCAGGGGCGGAGGGAGAAGAGTGGAGAAAGAGGGGGTTGGAGAGGGATACGAGGCGAGGACAGGGATAGTTGCATATTAGCAATGCACTCATTCACAGCGGTAACAGGTTAGCACGGCACTTGCAGCGAGAGACCGTGAGCAAGGCACCCACAATGAGAGCATAACATGTAAGCAAGGCACTCACAGCGAGAGCAGGTTGGTGAGCGACTTAATCGGCGAGGCCCAAGAGTCGATGAGTGCTCGGAAGAAGTTGGAGCTCACATCCCTGCACGCGTAGCAGGAGATGGTGGGGGGGGGAGGGGAGGGGGGGAGGGGGGAGAGATGGGACATGATGGCAGGGCGGAGTGGAGAGAACAGGACATTGACACTCACCAGAAGGCAGAATGTGAGCGGCACTCACAGCATGGTGAGCGGCACTCACAGCATGGTGAGCGGCACTCACAGCATGGTGAGCGGCACTCACAGCATGGTGAGCGGCACTCACAGCATGGTGAGCGGCACTCACAGCATGGTGAGCGGCACTCACAGCATGGTGAGCGGCACTCACAGCATGGTGAGCGGCACTCACAGCATGGTGAGCGGCACTCACAGCATGGTGAGCGGCACTCACAGCATGGTGAGCGGCACTCACAGCATGGTGAGCGGCACTCACAGCATGGTGAGCGGCACTCACAGCATGGTGAGCGGCACTCACAGCATGGTGAGCGGCACTCACAGCATGGTGAGCGGCACTCACAGCATGGTGAGCGGCACTCACAGCATGGTGAGCGGCACTCACAGCATGGTGAGCGGCACTCACAGCATGGTGAGCGGCACTCACAGCATGGTGAGCGGCACTCACAGCATGGTGAGCGGCACTCACAGCATGGTGAGCGGCACTCACAGCATGGTGAGCGGCACTCACAGCATGGTGAGCGGCACTCACAGCATGGTGAGCGGCACTCACAGCATGGTGAGCGGCACTCACAGCATGGTGAGCGGCACTCACAGCATGGTGAGCGGCACTCACAGCATGGTGAGCGGCACTCACAGCATGGTGAGCGGCACTCACAGCATGGTGAGCGGCACTCACAGCATGGTGAGCGGCACTCACAGCATGGTGAGCGGCACTCACAGCATGGTGAGCGGCACTCACAGCATGGTGAGCGGCACTCACAGCATGGTGAGCGGCACTCACAGCATGGTGAGCGGCACTCACAGCATGGTGAGCGGCACTCACAGCATGGTGAGCGGCACTCACAGCATGGTGAGCGGCACTCACAGCATGGTGAGCGGCACTCACAGCATGGTGAGCGGCACTCACAGCATGGTGAGCGGCACTCACAGCATGGTGAGCGGCACTCACAGCATGGTGAGCGGCACTCACAGCATGGTGAGCGGCACTCACAGCATGGTGAGCGGCACTCACAGCATGGTGAGCGGCACTCACAGCATGGTGAGCGGCACTCACAGCATGGTGAGCGGCACTCACAGCATGGTGAGCGGCACTCACAGCATGGTGAGCGGCACTCACAGCATGGTGAGCGGCACTCACAGCATGGTGAGCGGCACTCACAGCATGGTGAGCGGCACTCACAGCATGGTGAGCGGCACTCACAGCATGGTGAGCGGCACTCACAGCATGGTGAGCGGCACTCACAGCATGGTGAGCGGCACTCACAGCATGGTGAGCGGAGCTTGGTGATCACGGGTGAGCTTCTGATTGTCCAGCTTCCTGCCAGCATGGGGTGGGGAGGAGGAGGAGCATGTTGGGGACGCGAGATAGATGCTGGCATGGTGGCATCGCTGCTGGCACAACAGCATGACAGGCAGTGCGCATTCCCCCATGTAATAGATGCTGCAGGCTTGGGGAGAGGAGTGCAAGAGCGGGCAAGGGCGCAAGAGCACTGACAGGCTGACGGGCTGGCCGAGGGAGTTGCAGAACACGCCAGACCACGTGCCGGGAATGGGAGTCTGCCCGTCCGCGGTGCAGTAGCCACCCGTGACCAGCCAGTCCGTCAGCGCCACACTGCCACTGCCACTGCTTCCTGCCGCCTTGGGCTTGAGCAGCGCGGCGGGGGCCGTCCAGTCCGTGAAGGTCACTCCCAGCGCTGCCTTTATGTTGTTCAGCACCGCGGCTGGCGCAGCGCAAGGGGTGTTCCAGTCAGGGAAGCAGACAAGAGGACAGAGAGGAGTGTGACAGGTTGGAGAGAAGAGTGAGAGGAGCGGGAGGAGGACAGGGCACAACAGGCGTAAACGGCAAGGGATGACGTCTGGTGAGCAGCAAGGCACAACGCACAATGGTGGCGTGGGGACGGGTAGAAGGGCAGGGCAGCAGAGCATCACCTGATGCGGCGTCAATGATGACGCCGGTGCAGTACATGGGCATGACGGGCGTGGACAGCGTGGGGGTCTGATTGGCTGCCACTGCCGCTGTGGCGTTCGGCACGCACAGCCCGCCGCCGCAGAGAGTGCCCTGGCCATCGGCGCTGCCGCAGATGTTACAGCCGGCACGGTTGAAAGTGCCACCGGAGGTGCACCCGCCTTGGGAGGTGAGGCAGTTGACAGCCGCCGAGCACGTGACGCCGGGGAATGTGCCGATGGTGCCTACCAGGAAGTTGCCTGCAATGGACAGGGTCTTGAGTGCCGTGCCTATGGCGGTGGGCACGGTGCCTGTGAGGTAGTTGTACCTCACGTCGCTGGGAGGATGGCACAGCAGCACATGGGCGAGTGGAGTGCAGAAAGGCAAGGAAGTGAGAGGGGGCAGGGCAGAGCAGCCTGTTTTGGATCACAGAATTACTTTTCGAGTTATTTTTGAGAATTCTCAAAAATAACTTTTTTTTCTTCTTTTTTTCTCGAGCCGGATTGTTTGATGTTTGGGTTGGGGTGTTAGAGTCAGTCCAACGCATGTTCGGATTGTGCACAACTGACAGAGAGGTTCAAAGCGGAAACCTGGACAATTAGGGCATTAGGCAAAGAGAAATTTCGCGGCCAGATTTGTCTGAAATGCTGTTGCCGAACCGTACCCAAACCGGTTTGATTCAAATCGAACTGCATAAGGTTCGACCCGAACCGGTAAATGCTTTTTTTGACCACATCAGGCACAGCTCAGACCCCTACTTCTCCCCCACTCCTTTCCAGTCTTCGGTTTGACTCGAATCAAACTGGTTTAGTTCGACTGATTGACAGGTTCAACTCAGGTCGGACCGTTTCAGGTCCGGTTCTTGCTAACGTGAGAGCATCAGGGTGGGCGCCCGAAGCAAGCAGAGGAGAGGGGTGGCAACAAGGAGGAAAACGAGCAGGTGGCATGTAAGAAGAGGGGAGTGGGAGGTGATTAGGGATGGAGGCAGTACAGGCTGGTGAGTGTGGGGAGATTGAGCAGCGCGGTGGGCAGCGGGCCCGCGAAGAAGTTCAAACGTGCCGAGCTGCAGGCGGGCAGGCAGGGGAGAGAGGCAGAGCAGGCACGGGCACAGGCAGCAGTGAGTGAGGGCAAGACATGCAGCAAGACACACGTGAGGGAACGTGGGGAACTAGAACAACGGTGAGCAGACGGGAGAAGAATTGCAACGCCAGACGAAGCATCGACAGGGATGATGGCATGGGCAACAGAGAGCAGGTGGGAGGTGGAGGGCAGGTGGGGAGCAGAGAGCAGGTGGCGGGGGGAGGCGGCTGACAATATCTTGAGCGCTGAGAGCCCCTTGAAGCCCGAGGTGAAATAGGCCAGGCGGCCCTGCAGCATGTTGCTGTCCAGCACGCTGCAGACAGGCAGGGGCAGAGAGGGGTGGGGAAGAGAAGGGGGAGGAGGGAGAGGTGGGGATGCAGGTGAGAGGAAGCTCACAGCATGGAGAGACGTGAGTTCACAGCGAAGTGGGAGTGGCGAGCTTACAGCGAGGAGAGAGTGGTGTGCTTACAGCGAGGAGAGAGTGGTGTGCTTACAGTGAGGAGAGAGTGGTGTGCTTACAGCGAGGAGAGAGTGGTGTGCTTACAGCGAGGAGAGAGTGGTGAGCTTACAGCGAGGTGAGAGTGGTGAGCTTACAGCGAGGTGAGAGTGGTGAGCTTACAGCGAGGTGAGAGTGGTGAGCTTACAGCGAGGTGAGAGTGGTGAGCTTACAGCGAGGTGAGAGTGGTGAGCTTACAGCGAGGTGAGAGTGGTGAGCTTACAGCGAGGTGAGAGTGGTGAGCTTACAGCGAGGTGAGAGTGGTGAGCTTACAGCGAGGTGAGAGTGGTGAGCTTACAGCGAGGTGAGAGTGGTGAGCTTACAGCGAGGTGAGAGTGGTGAGCTTACAGCGAGGTGAGAGTGGTGAGCTTACAGCGAGGTGAGAGTGGTGAGCTTACAGCGAGGTGAGAGTGGTGAGCTTACAGCGAGGTGAGAGTGGTGAGCTTACAGCGAGGTGAGAGTGGTGAGCTTACAGCGAGGTGAGAGTGGTGAGCTTACAGCGAGGTGAGAGTGGTGAGCTTACAGCGAGGTGAGAGTGGTGAGCTTACAGCGAGGTGAGAGTGGTGAGCTTACAGCGAGGTGAGAGTGGTGAGCTTACAGCGAGGTGAGAGTGGTGAGCTTACAGCGAGGTGAGAGTGGTGAGCTTACAGCGAGGTGAGAGTGGTGAGCTTACAGCGAGGTGAGAGTGGTGAGCTTACAGCGAGGTGAGAGTGGTGAGCTTGGTGATGTCAGCATGCATGCTGCCCTTCAACAGCTGCTCCGTGAGGTCGCTGCAGCGAAGCACAGGCCAGAGAGGGGCGAGAGGAGAATGGTTGAGAAGGGAAAGGTTGAGAGGGGAGGCATGGAATGCAAGATAGAGGCGCCTTCGTGCCATGGCTGTGGCCCACAGACAGGCTTCGGGCTGCATCAGCGCAAAGAGAACCAACGCCACTGCAGCCACTCACATGCTTATGACCTTGCCCGCCGTATCACAATACACTTTCGCCCACGCCCCCACCACGGCCATCTGCCCTGCAATGTTGCACGGCGCCGTGTTAGCCCAGCTGGTGAGAGTGACGCCCAGCGACGCCTTGAGGTTGAGCATGGCGCCCAGCATGCTCGCATCCATGGGGCCGCCCTGGCAGTACATCGTCAGCAGCGGCTGCCCATCCGTGTTGGGCGTGCCGGCAGCGGCGGGCGCAGCAGAGTTGGGCGTGCAGAGGCCGCCGCCGCACAACGGCAAGGCAGCCATTGCGGAGCTGCAGATCACGCAGCTGGGGGAGGGCCGCTGCGCCGTGCCGAGCGTGTTGTTGCACTTGGAGGCGTCTGTGAGGCAGTTGGAGCGCGCATCGCACGCGGTGAGCGTGGCGGTGGGGAAGGAGCCCGAGAGGAAGTTGTCTGCCACGTTTAGTACCTTCACTGCTGCGCCCACCGCCGGCACCACCCCCGTCAGGTAGTTGCGGTTCAGCTTGCTGCGAGCAGGTGTCGGAGGGAGGGGAGAGGATGTGGAGAAATGGCAGCATTGAAGCAGGGGCGGGTGGTGAGGGATGGAAGGTAGCAGAGGCAAGAAGTGGGGGTATCACATGTGGGGCTGACTAGGGGATTCCGAAGGAGGGCATGCAGAGGGTAAGGGTGGTGGCCCACCACTGGGGGAGGGGCACTCACACGGTGGAGAGGGCTGGCAGGGCGAGGAGGGAGGAGGGGATGGTGCTGTAGAACCAGTTGTACTGCAGCGAGCTGTGAGGGGGCACGAGGCACGAGGCATGGGCATGGTGGGGGGGCAGCGATGTGGGGGGTGGGGCGGTGAGACGCCTGGGTGGCTGCAGAGAGTTGAAAGGCGGTGGGGATGCGGGAAGAGGCACGTGGTGGTGAGTGCAGCACGTGGTGGTGAGTGCAGCACGTGGTGGTGAGTGCAGCACGTGGTGGTGAGTGCAGCACGTGGTGGTGAGTGCAGCACGTGGTGGTGAGTGCAGCACGTGGTGGTGAGTGCAGCACGTGGTGGTGAGTGCAGCACGTGGTGGTGAGTGCAGCACGTGGTGGTGAGTGCAGCACGTGGTGGTGAGTGCAGCACGTGGTGGTGAGTGCAGCACGTGGTGGTGAGTGCAGCACGTGGTGGTGAGTGCAGCACGTGGTGGTGAGTGCAGCACGTGGTGGTGAGTGCAGCACGTGGTGGTGAGTGCAGCACGTGGTGGTGAGTGCAGCACGTGGTGGTGAGTGCAGCACGTGGTGGTGAGTGCAGCACGTGGTGATGAGCGCAGCACTTACAGCGACTTGAGTGTCTTGAGAGCGCTGAAGAGTGTAACAAACGCATCCAAGCGCTGCTGAAAGAGATTGGCACTCAGATCCCTGCATGTGTGCATGCCATGCAGGACATGCCGTGCAGGCACATCGACATCAATGCATGCACATGCACAAACACAGGCGCATATCACCACGAACATGCACACACACATGCACATATCACCACGAACATGCACACCACGCACATGCACATTACCACACACATTTCACATACCATCACACGCAAGCACACATACACTCCAACACATAGGCAGGCAGCACTTAAGGCGTTGAGGCAGCAGTGAGCACGAAAAGTGGCTTTGCGTGAGTGAAGAAGTGAATGCGATGGAAGAAAGCTGCCATCCAGAGCTGCTCTGAAGCATGGCGGCATGAGTGGACTCAAGGCAGGCTTGCATGGTCGTGCATGGTCGTGCATGGGCGTGCATGGTCGTGCATGGGCGTGCATGGGCGCGCATGGGCGTGCATGGGCGTGCATGAGCGTAGATAGGAGCGGAAGGGGAGACTCACAGAGCGGTGAGAGCTGTGAGCTTGCTGACGTCCGCCGACAGGCTTCCAGTCAGCTTCTGGTTGGGCAGCACCCTGCAAAGTGGTCAGGGAAAGAGGTAAGGAGATGACAAGGGAAGACAGAAGGATGGGTGTTCGTGTGGAAGGAGGGAAGGAAAGGAGGGGGAATAATGCGACATTCGTAGCAGGCAGGCAGACACAGCGCGGGCGCTCACAGCAGGCGAGCACTCACAGGGCAACAACGGCGCCGGCGGTGTTACAGAAGACGCCGGTCCAGGAGCCGGGAGCAGGGGTCTGCCCCTCGACGGTGCAGGCGCCCACAGTGGTGGCGAGGGGCACGCTGCTGCTCTTCAGCGCCTTGGGCTGCAGCACCACCGTCGTTGCACTCCAGTCCGTGGCCGTCACTCCCAGCACCGTCTTCAGCGCCAGCAGCGTTGTGGCTGCACGAGGCAAGCGAGGAGAGGGAATGGGGCGCAGTGGTGGTGGCATGAGGACGAGCCAGAGTGGTGGGAAGAGAGCACAAGAGGGGGTGTTGTGGGAAGAGAGCGCAAGAGGGGAGGTTGTGGCAGGAGCAGCACTCACTGGTGTTGGTGTCCAAAGCAACTGGCGTGCAGTAGAGATTGCGAGCGGGAGACGACGCAGTGGGAGGTGCCGTAATGTCGGTGGTGTTGACAAGGCAGGTGACGCCGCCGCACAGCGTGCCCTGGCCAAAGGGGGTGCCGCAGATGGCACAGTCTGCAGCGGTGCGCTGCGTGATGCCGAGGGAGGCGCAGTTGTTGGCGTCGGTGAGGCAGTTGGTGGTGGCGGCGCAGTAGGTGAGCGCGTTGGTGGGGAAGGAACCCGACAGGAAGTTTCCCTGCACGTCCAGCGACTTGGCGGATGCTGGCACGGTGGGGAAGGGACCCGTGAGGTAGTTGTAGGCCACGGAGCTGGGGGTTGTGAGGAGGGGAGTGAAAGGTTGGGGTTTAGGGGAACGGGGAGGAAATCGCAAGGAAGTCCAGGTGGAGGAAGGAAGGAATGGATGCGGAGGGAGAAAGAGAGAGTGTGAGAGATGAGAGAGTGTGAGAGATGCTGTGCGATGGAGAGTAGAGACGGTGTGGTTGAAGCGCGAGAGCAGAAGGTGGGGTGGTGCAGAGCACTCACAGTTTTGAGAGAGTGGAGAGGGCGAGTAGCGCGGAGGGGAATGGACCGATGAGGTAGTTGAACTGCAGAGCGCTGCAGGCATGCGCAGCACAGGTGATGCACGGGTAAGGGTGGAGGGGAGGGAGGACAGAAAGGATAGGGGGTGGTGAGCAGTGGAGGGAGATGAATGGGCCAATGGTGAGTGGTATGCAGGGCAGGGGAGCACATGGTCGAACACACGCAACCTTGAGTGGCTGCATGCAAGGTTGCCTGCATCGATGGCTGCATGATTGGCTTCATGGTGGTTACATGAAGGGTTTGCTGCATGTGTAGGGATGGCGGCTTGTTTGCAGGGATTGGGTGCAGCGATGGGCTCATATTTGAGCACGAGGGACTCACAGCTCCTTGAGCACGAGGGGTGTCTTGATGCTGGCAGTGAAGGAGTCCAGGCGCCCCTGCAGCAGGTTGGACTGCAGGTCCCTGCAGCAAGCAGGCAGGGGGAGGCGAGCGCACAAGACACAAAACAGGATGCAGAATGGCACGGTGAATTGCAGACGTGGGCAGGGAGCAGCCAGGAGCAGCGGATGGGGCGAATATCAGCATCGCGGAGTGCAGGTGAGTGAGCGTGAGAGGCGGGGAGAGGAGAGCGCGAGCACTGACAGAGAGGTGAGCGTGGAGAGAGGAGGACTGACAGTGAGGTGAGCATGGAAAGCTTGGAGATGTCGGAGTGGATGCTGCCCGCCAGCTTCTGGGAACTCAGCACTCTGCAGATTCGACCCAACACACATGGCAGCAGGGAGAGTGCACAGAGCAAACGTGAGTAATATGCCGTCTCAGAAAACGAAACGCCAACCCCAAGCACGGTGTTGCATCGTCTACGTGTCTCTACGTGCACTCATATGCCCCGCACTTTGCGTTGCACTCACATGCCCAGCACTTTGCCGGTGGAGTCACAGGTAACCCCACTCCACGACCCAGCAGCAACGGCACCAGGCAGGGAGCAGGGCGAGTCGGCCTTCCAGTCGGTGAAAGTGACGCCCAGCGACGCCTTGAGGTTCAGCATGGCGCCCGCTTGCACCGAGTCCATCGCCACAAACGCCGCGCCCACGCAGATGAGCGGCAGGGAGGGCGACGCGGCGCTGTTGGGAGCGCCGAGTGCCACCAGGTCCGTGGCGTTGACGGTGCACAGCCCGCCGCTGCACAGCCGCCCCTGCGCGTTGGTCGTGTTGCAGATGGCGCACGCTGTGGTGGCCCGCGGGAGCTCGGAGGCGCGGTTGGGGTTCTTGCACTTGGTGGCGTCGAGGAAGCAGTTCATGCGCGCGGCGCAGAGGGTGAGGTTGAGCGTGGGGAAGGTGCCGGCGAGGAAGTTGAACTGCACGTCCACCACTGCCAGCGGCGATGTCACGTTCGGCAGCGCTCCCGTCAGATAGTTGTAGCCAATCGTGCTGCCAAGCAGAGCAGAGGGTACAATGGAGAGGCGAGGGTGCAAGTGGTTGTGAATGGATGAGTCAAAGAGTGGCGGAAGAGTTTGGAAGAAAGTGGTGCCGAACGTGTGGGTGGGGGGTTACGAAATCAATGGTTTTCTGGCGTACGGACGGTCAGAAGGCATTTGCAGAGGAGAGGAGAGACGCAAAGCAAGTGCAGGTTAATGGAGGGAGCAGTGGTGTGTGTAAGGGGCTTACAGTTCCGTGAGAGTGTGTAAGGGGCTTACAGTTCCGTGAGGCCAGGGAGGGTGAGCATGAACGCAGGCACCGAGCCGGAGAGCCAGTTGTAGGCGAGATCGCTGTGAGCATGGGATGGGTGGGTGGGTGGGTGGGTGGGGAGACGGGGGAAGGAGCAGAGGCGAGGTTGAGAAGATGCGAGGGGGGCAGACGTGATATAGCAGACAAAAAAAAAAAGAAAGGAGGAAACACACACACACACACACACACACACACACACACACACACACACACACACACACACACACACAGGCGCACATGACAGCACATTCACATGCGCACGTCCCATAAGAGCAGGGTGAGGGCGACGCACATGGACTTGAGGTTGGTGAGCAGGCGCAGCTGCGTGGCAACTTCGTCCAGACGGCCCTGAAGGAGGTTGGAGGTGAGGTCGCTGGGGGGAGGAGCAGAGAGGGGAGAGGGGATGAGGGGAGGGGCGGAGGGGAGAGAGAATGAAGAGAGGGGCAGACAGAGAGGGGAGAGAATGAGGCGAGAGGCAGAGAGGAAAGTGAATGAGGAGAGGGAAGAGAGAAGAGAGAATGAGGAGAGGGAAGAGTGAAGAGGCAGTGAGGATGGATGGAGGGGAGCTCACATGGCAGTGAGTGCATTGAGGCCGGAGACTGCGAGCGGCAGCGTGCCCTTGAGCTTGTTGTTGGCCAGTTGCCTGGTGGACGAGCAGGCACGGTGGGGCCCACACAACACAACACAACACAACACAACACAACACAAGACATGGCCACGGAATTGATGAGTGGAGAGGAGAGTGGTAGAGCCGGAGGCAAGGCGAAACATACGGCATAAGCAGATGACGGTGCAAGGAGCGAGACGGAAGAGCAGAGGGAAGTGGCAGCAGAAGGTGGGCAGAGCATGGGCAGGGAGAGAAAGACGGCGCGCAGTGTCAGTTTATAACATGGCGAGACCGGAGCATGGAGTGAGAAGGGGCAGGCAGAGCAGAGCAAGGGCAGGGGAGCAGCAGGCAGCAGGGGCAGGGCAGGTGGACTGACAGGCTGACGACTCTGCCGCCCGAGTTGCAGAGCACGCCGTTCCACGTGCCGGGAATGATGGCGGTGGGCGCCACGGTGCAGTAGGTGGCTTCCACCCACGTTGTGAACGTCACCCCCATCGCACTCTTCAGCGCCGCCAGCGCAGCAGCTGCCACGCAGCACGCAGGGGGTGGGGGGGATGTGGGGGGAGGAGGCAATGGAAAGAGTGAAGTGATGAGGGGGTGCATGGCATTGGGGGAGGTGGCGTGGCATGGTGCATGGTGGGCCACGGGATGGTGCATGAGGAGTGGCGCTACGAGTGACGAGGAGTGGCGCTACGAGTGACGAGGAGTGGCGCTACGAGTGACGAGGAGTGGCGCTACGAGTGACAAGGAGTGGTGCTACGAGTGACGAGGAGTGGTGCTACGAGTGACGAGGAGTGGTGCTACGAGTGACGAGGAGTGGCGCTACGAGTGACGAGGAGTGGCGCTACGAGTGACGAGGAGTGGCGCTACGAGTGACAAGGAGTGGTGCTACGAGTGACGAGGAGTGGTGCTACGAGTGACGAGGAGTGGTGCTACGAGTGACGAGGAGCAGTGCTACGAGTGACGAGGAGCAGTGCTACGAGTGACGACGAGCAGTGCTACGAGTGACGACGAGCAGTGCTACGAGTGACGAGGAGCAGTGCTACGAGTGACGAGGAGCAGTGCTACGAGTGACGAGGAGCAGTGCTACGAGTGACGAGGAGCAGTGCTACGAGTGACGAGGAGCAGTGCTACGAGTGACGAGGAGCAGTGCTACGAGTGACGAGGAGCAGTGCTACGAGTGACGAGGAGCAGTGCTACGAGTGACGAGGAGCAGTGCTACGAGTGACGAGGAGCAGTGCTACGAGTGACGAGGAGCAGTGCTACGAGTGACGACGAGCAGTGCTACGAGTGACGACGAGCAGTGCTACGAGTGACGACGAGCAGTGCTACGAGTGACGACGAGCAGTGCTACGAGTGACGAGGAGCAGTGCTACGAGTCACGAGGAGCAGTGCTACGAGTCACGAGGAGCAGTGCTACGAGTCACGAGGAGCAGTGCTACGAGTGACGAGGAGCACATGGCGAATGGCATGGCTGGGAAGTGCAGGGCGGTGAATGGCATGGCTGGGAAGTGCAGGGCGGTGAATGGCATGGTACGTGCACATCAATGTGACGCGCAGGCAGCATGGCGATATGAGGTAAGGCACTCTCACCATCGACAGAGTTTATGTTGATCACCGGAGCCCCTGTACCACGCACCAATGAGAGGCATTCAGAGGAAAACAGAGACATTCCAATGAGAGGTGATCGCGGCATAGGCATTCAGGGGCATAGGCATTCAGGGGCATGGCCATTCACGGACACAGGCATTCAGGCAGTCGCAAACATGGGCACGGGAGGAGAGGAGCGTGAGTATGTAAAGTAGGAGGAAGCGAGCAGCGAGTGTGGGGTTTCGCAGGGGTGAGAAGGTCACTACGAAGTAAAACGAGATTCCAACTGACAGCGCAGGGAGAGGGAGCATCCAGGGGGAGGAGACGCACCAGAGCAAGACATGGTAGGCGGGGCCAGCCCGTCAGGGTGGGCCGTGGTGGCGGTGACATCGGGCAGGCACATGCCGCCCCAGCACAGCAGCCCCTGCGCCGCTGCACTGTTGCAGATGGCACACGCAGCAGCAGCCCTCTGAGTGGTGCTGCTGGCGCCACACGCGGCGGCGCTGAGGAAGCAGTTGAGGCTGGCGTCACAGGCAGTGAGGGTGCCCGCTGTGAAGCTGCCCGCCAGGAAGTTGTCGTGCAGGTAGAGCGTCTGCAGCACGGATGACGTGGCGGGCAGCGACCCTGTCAGCACGTTCGCGTGCACATCCCTGTTGTGCCAGTGGAGGGGGGATTGGGTGGATGCGGATGGAGGGGGGAGGGGTTTGAAGAGGGGGAGGGAGGAGAGAAGAAGCAAGCAATGGACAGGTGAAGAACATGCATGGTGAAGGGGAGGGGGGGTTCAGAGGCAGGGGACAGGTGAATGCAATGGCTGGTGGAGAGGGGCATCCATGCGGAAACAGGATGGTCACGTGTGCATGTGTTTTGGACCCTTACAGAAGCGTGAGGGCGGGAAGAGACATGAGGGTCTGAGGCAGGGAGCCCGAGAACCAGTTGTTGTTGAGGCGCCTGGGGGGAGAGGAGAGAGGGAGAACAGAGCAAGGCAAGAGGCAGAGATGAATGCACAACGAGTGAGAGCAACACAAACGAGAGCAACATGAGCGAGAGCAACATGAGAGAGAGCACCGTAAGAGCAACGTGAGAGCACCACGGATTCAAGATGGATGTTCGAGAGTGGTGAGGGTAGAGAAGAGGCACTGACAGCTGCTGAAGCGACTTGAGGCCCGAGAAGGAGGAGGCAAAGCTCGCAAGGCCGCTTAGCAGGAAGTTGTTGGAGAGATCACTGCAGGGGCGGGCGAAAGAGAGGGTGCACAGAACATGCACAGGGCGGAGGAGAAAGGAAGCAAGTGAGAAGAGAAGGCTTTCCAGGTGAGGAGAGGGCGCAGGGAGTAGAGACAAGGTTGGGAGGAGGGCATGAAGCAGTGTGGAAGCGGAAAAGGTACAAAATTTGATATTAAGGGCTAACTCTGGCGAAAGATGCTGGTTCAGATGAGGCGTGCGAGGCGGCAGGACGAGAAGCAAGGCAAGTGAGGCGGAACAAGGTCAGTCAGGTGAGGGCACTGACAGGTAGGTGAGGGCACTGACAGGTAGGTGAGGGCACTGACAGGTAGGTGAGGGCACTGACAGGTAGGTGAGGGCACTGACAGGTAGGTGAGGGCGGTGAGCTTGGAGATGTCCGAGTGCATGCTGCCAGCCAGGGCGGAGGAGGAGAGGTTGCTGCTCAAATTGGGATGGGGCAGGCAGGGAGCACGGAGAGGGGAGGAAGGGGGGAAGGGGGAGAGTGGAGGTAATGAGCATGCAATCCAGTTGAAGCTATGGTGGGTTGCAACAAGCATGCGCAGCCGTAGCAGAGGTTTGAAGACGAAACAGTTGCATGCAGCAGAAGCAGGGAGCGGAGAGAGGGGAGCAGGTAGCAGGGGCAGAGGGCACTGACACGCTGAGGACGTTGCCAGTGGAGGAACAGAGCACGCCAGCCCAGGTGCCGGCGACGGTGATGGTGGCGTTGGCAATGGCGCAGGGCGATGCAGCCAGCCAGCTGGTGAACGTCACTCCCAACGCTGACTTCACGTTCAGCAGTGCAAGCGCTGTGGGGGGCAGGAAGGAGGAAGGGATGTAAGGGACGTGGAAATGGGGGCCGGAGAGAGTTCGAGAGGGTATGTGCAGGAGAGACGCAAAGCATGGAGGTTGGCGGATAGGAAACAGAAAGGCAGGGAGTACATGTGCATGAGAGTGAAGGATGAGAGGCACGAACTGTGGAGGATGGGAATTCATGCGTGCATGGCGGCAAGATATGTGAACGCACCTGAGCCTGTATCCATCGGTGCAGCAGGATTGTCTGCAACGGGAGAATCCGGAACAAGGAGAGAGAGGGAGAACATGAGGGGTGCGGCATGGCAGGAGGCATGAGGAACGCGAAAGCGGTGGGGCAAAGCGGAGGAGCGACTTGCAGAGAGATGTGTGTGGAGGCATGAAAGTGTGGAAGCCTGCACAAACAGGAGAATATCGGAGAGAGGAAAGGACTTTGCCAAGCCTTGCAGCACCCACCTCTGCGCACCACACACACACTGACCTGCGCACGCCATGGGCAGGATGGGCTGATTGGGCGAGTTAACAGTGCCAGCAGTGACAGCAGCAGTGGCGCTGGGAGCGCAGGAGCCGCCGAAGCAGAGGTCGCCCTGGCCGGCAGCGGAGCCGCAGATGGCGCAGGCACCGGCAGGGCGCTGCACGATGCCGTAGGTGCGGCAGGAGGAGGAGTTGAGGAAGCAGTTGTTGTCGCCCGCACAGAACATGAGCGGCAGCTTCGGAAAGGTGCCCGAGAGGAAGTTAAAGCCCACGTCCAGCGCGAGCAGGGTCTTGGTGGGGATGGGCACGGTGCCCGTGAGGTAGTTGGAGAAGAGGCCTCTGGGGGAGAGGAAAGGGAGAGGGAAGGGGAGGGAGAGAGCGGATCGAGCATGAGAAGGAATGGAACTTGTACTGGGTGATGCCATGCGAGGGCCATAGGCATCAAGATACGGGGAGGCGGTGAGGCTGCTGCTGCATGGTAAAGAGTAGGCAAAAGTAGTGCTGCTGGGTTGGCTTACAGTGAGGTGAGCTGAGGCAGCGTGGCGAAGGCGGAGGGAATGGAGCCGGCGAAATAGTTGTAGTGGAAGAAGCTGTGATGGAAATGGGAGAAATGGGATTTGAGAGCGGGATATGTGGGGGATACTAAGCGACAGAGAAGAATTAGAGGGATGCTGATATTGTGCGAGCATGGCGTGTGAGTGAGTGGAGCATCACAGGTTGACGAATCATGGCAGGCAGCTGCAGCATGTTTGAGTTGGGCGAGCACAGCCCAGCACGCACTATGCAGCTGTATGAGCCCTGGGAGGACAAGGGTGCACGGTGCACGGTGCAGGTTCATGGGTCACAGAGGCCAAGACGCTTCGCAGCACCACAGGGAGGTGAGGGAGGGGCTTACAGCGCCTTGAGGGTGGTGAGGGGCTTACCGCGCCTTGAGGGAGGTGAGGGGCTTACAGCGCCTTGAGGGAGGTGAGGGGCTTACAGCGCCTTGAGGGTGGTGAGGGGCTTACAGCGCCTTGAGGGAGGTGAGGGGCTTACAGCGCCTTGAGGGTGGTGAGGGGCTTACAGCGCCTTGATGGTGGTGAGGGGCTTACAGCGCCTTGAGGGAGGTGAGGGGCTTACAGCGCCTTGAGGGAGGTGAGGGGCTTACAGCACCTTGAGGGAGGTGAGGGGCTTACAGCGCCTTGAGGGTGGTGAGGGGCTTACAGCGCCTTGAGGGTGGTGAGGGGCTTGAGCGGCGCAGCGAAGAGGTCAAGACGGCCCTGGAAGAGGTTGTAGCCGAAGTCACTGCGGCAAATAGAGGGGGGGGGGAGGGGAGGGGGGAGGAAGGGAGGGGCGAAGATGGTGAGGGGAGTGGGGGAAAGAGGGGGGAGGGAGCGGTGTGGTGTGGATGGGTCTCGCCTAACAAGTGACAACCCACTGACAAGTAGAGCTGGCATACTGTGCACAGTGCATTGCATCTCCCTATCGCACTGCCACTATACTCCTCTCGTGTGGGCACATAGCATGTTACTGCGCTAGGCTTACAGGTACGTGAGGGTGGCTGCGCTGGGATAACAGGTACGTGAGTGTGGTGGGGTGGGCTTACAGGTATGTGAGCGTGGTGAGCTTGGAGATGTCGGGATGAATGGAGCCCTTCAGCTTCTGCCGTGTGAGCGCACTGCATGGGAAAGAGGGGATGGATCCAGGGTGAGAGACAGGCAGAGGATGAACGAGAGAGGCAAAAGAGGGAAGAGTGGCATGTGCAGCACCAGCACCCACACCACACGTGCTCCCTCTCACTCTTGCATAATGCACCCATTCGCTCCCGGCTCCCCTGACCTACCCTCTCCGCACCACACTCACATGCTCGTGACTTTGCCGGCAGCGGTGCAGCGCACGCCGCCCCACTGTGCGGTCAGCAGCGGCTGGCCGTCCTGCGCACACAGCGAGCCCGTGTTCCAGTTGCTCAGCGTCACGCCCAGCGACGACTTGAGCATCAGCAGCACCACCGCTGGTGGGCAGTAGGGAGAAACGGGTGGGGACAGGGTTTAGGTGTTGACAGTGGGCAGGCACAAGAGCAGGTGGTCAGAGGGTAGCAGAGCAGAAGTGGAGTGCGTGCGAGAGGCAAGTGCCTGTGCACAGGTGGTTGTGCGTGCATGGTTGCCTGTGGGTGCCTGTGGGTGCCTGTGGGTGTGGGTGTGCGAGTGCAAGTGCTCACCGTCAGCAGCATCGATGGGCACGCCACTGCACACCATGGGCAGCGTGGGCGAGCCGATAATATTGGGCGTGCCCGCCGCAGCGGCGGCAATAGAGTCGGGCGCGCAGATGCTGACGCCGCCACAGAAGGGCGGCTGCGCGTTGGTGGTGCCGCAGATGGCGCACTGTGCTGCAGGGCGCTGCGTGGTGCCAGCCATGCCGCAGACAGAGGGGTTGGTGAAGCAGTTGGTGTGGCCGTCGCACCAGATGAGGCTCATGCTTCCCATGGTGTAGAAGAAGTTGGCCCGCAGGTCCAGAGCCCTCACACTAGTCCCTGCTGGGAAGCTGCCCGTGAGGTAGTTGTAGCCCAGCCCACTGCATGGGGGCGCGCAGTGCAGCCAGATTGGACATCAGGAAGCAGGTGGGGCGACCAGCGGTGAGACTTGAGATGAGAAGTTGCGCTCACTATTGGGAGTGAGCGAAGGATGTGAGGAACATGTGGGACAGGAAAGGCAGTGTGTGAACATGGGAGACAGGTGAGGCTGCAGAGACTTGTGAATCCGCATGTGGTGAGGCAGACGAATGCGGGAGCGAGTGCGGAATGTGCGAGGGGGCTCACAGCGAGGTGAGCGAGGGCATGCTGACGATGGCAGTGGGCACGGTGCCGTAGAGCCAGTTGTACTGCAGGTAGCTGCGGGGCAGGGCAGTGGGGGCAGGGCAGTGAAGGGTGGGCAAGAGGCAGTACGGGACGAGAAGGATATGTGTGAGGAGGGCTGGAAGAGAAGGATATGCGTGAGGGGGGCTGGAAGAGAAGGGCAGACAGGCCCCACGGGGACAGCAGAGAGAGGGCACGGTGGCAGAGGGGGGATGGGGAGGGAAGAGACTGAAGGTGCAATGGAGGAAGAGCAGCTAATGAAGCGAAGCACAGGCGGGAGGCACAAGAGTCCGTAGCGACTCACAGCTCCTTGAGAGCGACTCACAGCTCCTTGAGAGCGACTCACAGCTCCTTGAGAGCGACTCACAGCTCCTTGAGAGCGACTCACAGCTCCTTGAGAGCGACTCACAGCTCCTTGAGAGCGACTCACAGCTCCTTGAGAGCGACTCACAGCTCCTTGAGAGCGACTCACAGCTCCTAGAGAGCGACTCACAGCTCCTTGAGAGCGACTCACAGCTCCTTGAGAGCGACTCACAGCTCCTTGAGAGTGCTGAGCCCGTAGAGGTTGAAGGTGAAGCCGGCTAGGGGCGCCTGGAAGAGCTGCTTGTACAGCGACCTGGCGAAGGGATGTGCACAGAGCAGGCAAGGTGAGGGGCTCACATAGCACGCAAGGCGAGGGAGGCATCACAAGGTGACGGCAGCACACAGCAAGGTGAAGGGCATACAGGTACACATTCTGAGGCGAGATGGCTGAGAGCAGATTAGGCTGAGAGCAGGTTAGGAGCGAGAAAGGGTTGCTACCGAGGTGCAGTTCTGCACAGCAGGTCTGCACCCTCACAGGGGTGAGATGCAGTGCACTCACAGGTAGGTGAGTGGTGAAGTGCAGTGCACTCACAGGTAGGTGAGTGGTGAAGTGCAGTGCACTCACAGGTAGGTGAGTGGTGAAGTGCAGTGCACTCACAGGTAGGTGAGTGGTGAAGTGCAGTGCACTCACAGGTAGGTGAGTGGTGAAGTGCAGTGCACTCACAGGTAGGTGAGTGGTGAAGTGCAGTGCACTCACAGGTAGGTGAGTGGTGAAGTGCAGTGCACTCACAGGTAGGTGAGTGGTGAAGTGCAGTGCACTCACAGGTAGGTGAGTGGTGAAGTGCAGTGCACTCACAGGTAGGTGAGTGGTGAAGTGCAGTGCACTCACAGGTAGGTGAGTGGTGAAGTGCAGTGCACTCACAGGTAGGTGAGTGGTGAAGTGCAGTGCACTCACAGGTAGGTGAGTGGTGAAGTGCAGTGCACTCACAGGTAGGTGAGTGGTGAAGTGCAGTGCACTCACAGGTAGGTGAGTGGTGAAGTGCAGTGCACTCACAGGTAGGTGAGTGGTGAAGTGCAGTGCACTCACAGGTAGGTGAGTGGTGAAGTGCAGTGCACTCACAGGTAGGTGAGTGGTGAAGTGCAGTGCACTCACAGGTAGGTGAGTGGTGAAGTGCAGTGCACTCACAGGTAGGTGAGTGGTGAAGTGCAGTGCACTCACAGGTAGGTGAGTGGTGAAGTGCAGTGCACTCACAGGTAGGTGAGTGGTGAAGTGCAGTGCACTCACAGGTAGGTGAGTGGTGAAGTGCAGTGCACTCACAGGTAGGTGAGTGGTGAAGTGCAGTGCACTCACAGGTAGGTGAGTGGTGAACTGCAGTGCACTCACAGGTAGGTGAGTGGTGAAGTGCAGTGCACTCACAGGTAGGTGAGTGGTGAAGTGCAGTGCACTCACAGGAAGGAGAGCGCAGTGAGCTTGGAGATGTCGGCAGCGATGTCTCCTGTGAGGCCCGTGTTGAACAACTCACTGCCATGCCATGCCACAATGGACGGTAGGTATTGTGAGAAGCATGTTACACGGGAACCCATGACATGTGGTGGCACATGATAAGTCGACCTTGTTGCACATGTTCCTGCCTGCTCCTACACCTAGACGCCCCAAACACCCGCCGTTCCCATGCTTCCCTGGTGATGCTGGCAGTCACGCCCGCCCCATCCCTGCATGCGACACCTCACATGACTGCAATGCACGCTCACATTTTCAGGACGTTGCCATCAGCGTCGCAGAGCACGCCGGCCCACGTGGCCACGGGCGCAGTGGTGCCCTTGATGGTGCAGGGCACATACGGCCCCCACGTGGTAGACGACATGCCCAGCGATGACTTGAGCGCCAGCATCACTGGTGGGGACGGTGCATGACGGGCCGGGTAGGTAGGAGGGTAGTGGAGTGGGTAAGACAAGGTTAAGGGCAGTGAGGCATGGCGGTAGGCCAGGTGCTGCTTGTGGCAGCAGAGCAGACGAAGCAGAAGTGGCCAGGGGGGCATGCCAGCCAGAGGTCTTTCGCTGTGACAAGGCCGGCAGAAACAAACCATCGGGACTAGAGCTGGCCACTGCTCAACGTACACATCCCACTGCTCACCTCCGATTTCTTTGATGGGCACCACCGGGCTGCCCACGCACGACATGGGCCGCGTGGGCTCAGTAGGCAGGTTCACCATGCCTGCAGCCACGGCTGCTGCCACATCCGGTGTGCACACTCCCCCTGCCCCCCAGCAGAAGGTCCCCACGCCATTGCTGGTGCCGCAGAAGGCACAATCCGCAGCGGAACGCTGGGTGGAGCCAGCGGCGCCGCTGGCGCACTTGGAGGGCGTGAGCAGACAGTTGCCCGCGCCGCCGCAGTATGTGTAGTTGGCTGTGGGCACGTCTGTGAGGAAGTTGCTTCGCACTTCTAGAGAGCGCAGCCCTGAGGCGAGTGCGGGCACAGAGCCCGTTAAGTAGTTGTACATCGCACCGCTGGCGAAGGGGAGGGCCATGGGCAGATGAATGCGGGCATAAGAGGCGGACAGAGAGGACAAGAGCATGAGAGAGGAGAAGCATACGGCATGCATCTCGAAGAGCAATACGCAGGCAGGCGAGCGGCACATGCCTTTTCTAGAAGCAACGCTCACGAGAGGCATGCGTTCATGGCGGCCTCTGAAGCGCATGAAATAAAATGCAGGTACAAGTCTCGACTAGGAGATTGATAAGTGGCGCGGAAGAGGTTTACAAGGTGAGAGCAGACGAGATTGGAGGGCGAAGGAGAAGATGCACGAATCTTTAAAACCAGCACCCACCTAACTGGTACGCGGCTTCCTATCAGACTTACAACTGAGTCAGCTTTGGGAGGTTTACGAGGAACGAGGGGATGTCTCCAATGAAATAGTTGTAATGCAGGCGGCTGCAAGAGGAGCAGAGACGGGGAGGGGGGAGGATGGCTTGCTGCTTCTGGAAGAGAGAGAGGTTGTGGAACGAGAAACGAGAAACAAGAACGGCTGAAAAGGCGGGGGGAGACAAGACACCACCATCCTCATCTGGCTGCTATCACCCCTCCTCCCTGGCCGGCCACACTCTGGCACTCACATGGCGGCCAGCAGCACTCACATGGCGGCCAGCAGCGCACTCACATGTCGGCCAGCAGCGCACTCACATGTCGGCCAGCAGCGCACTCACATGTCGGCCAGGACGGGCAAGAGGCGAAGATAAGTGGTGAAGGAGTCGAGGCGGTAGTTGAAAAGATTGCCCTGCAGGTTGCTGTGAGGGGCGAGCAGAGGGGCGAGCAGAGAGGCAAGGAGGAGAGGTGGCTGTCAGAAGCATCTTGAATAAATGCAGAATGGCTTGAGCAGAGGGGCAGGAGGCAGGTTCATGGAGTTGGGACCTTTCAATGAGCGCCAAAAAAGAAACGATGAAGCAGCCGACACGACAGGAAGAAAAGTTCTCAGGAGCAGAAGAAAGCATTTCCATGGCAAAGGATAGGAACAGCCAAGCATTCGTAATGGCAGGCAGGCGCATCTCACAGGTAGGTGAGAGTTGTGAGCGTGGAGATATCCGTTGCAAGCGAGCCCGTGAGCTTTGCGTTGTTCACGGTTCTGATGTCCCCAGCAAGGAGCAGTGGTGGGAAAGGTAAAGTGATGCAGACAGAAGCAGTGGCAGACGGGCAGATGAGTATGACGAAGGGCAGAGGCATAGCAGCCAGATATGGAAGCAGTGTCACAGTGGACAGTCATAGAATTGACAACAACTCATGCCCTCGCTTGCGGGTGGCTCTCACGTTCCCATCGGCTACGTGAGGTGATAGATTTGGGGAGCCACGCTGACAGAGCTTCCACACATACATGTCAAGCTGATATGCCGGTCATGATGATGCCAAGGCAATCACGATCACTCACATGCTCACGACACTGCCATTGCCGTCACACAGCACGCCGCTCCAGACTGTTGCCGTGGAGGCAAACCCTGCGAGCTTGCACTGCACAGTGGCATCCCACGTGGTGTAAGTCACGCCCAGCGACGACTTGAGGGCGAGCATGGCTGGTGGGGGGGGGGGGGGGGGGGGGGGGGGGGGGGGGGAGAGGGGAGTGGGAAAGCGCAACAAGGCAGGCAGCAGGAGGTGAGGGGACGCCCCAAGGAGCACGTGAGCGATCAGGATGTGTGCACGGCCCCTGTGGTCGCTGCCCCAGGCAGCACAGTCCCACGTGGTCCAGCACCCTGATGAGGTAACTGTGCTAGACCGTTGCACTTCCCCCCATCCATGACCATGCCCAGCCCATGTGTGGTTCCCACACACACACCTGTTGCTCAAGTGTCGTCCTACCAACAAGGAAAGCACCAGCAGGCCAGGTGCAAACAGCCAGGCGCTGCCCATTGCCCACCTGAGGTGTCTTTGAGGGGCACTGGCGGCACCATGCACGCGAGGGGGATCACAGGCTGGGTGAAGTTGTTCACAGTGCCTGCAGCCACCGCTGCATTCCCCTCCAGCGTGCACACCCCTCCCGGCCCCACACAGAAGGGCCCCACGCCCTTGGTGGTGTTGCAGAAGGCACAGTCAGTCGCAGGGCGCTGCACAGAGCCGACAGTGGCGCACTTGGAGGGCGTGGTGAGGCAGTTGTTGTTGCCGCCGCAATACGTGTAGGTCACTGCTGGCACGTCCGTGAGGAAGTTGAACCGCAGGTCCAGCGTGCGCAGACCGGAGGCGAGCGCAGGCACGGAGCCTATGAGGTAGTTGGCGGCAGCGCCGCTGGTGAAGGGAGGGAGCAGCGAAGCAGGGAATGACGGGCGGTATAAGGAGTGAGCAGAGAGGGCGGAAGGCGAGAAGAGTGAAACGGTTCAAAAGCAACACCACAGCCATCTCGTATGTGCCATTTACTGGGACTTACAACTGTGTGAGTTTGGGGAGGCCGACGAGATACGAGGGGATCTCCCCAAACAAGTAGTTGTAGTGCAGGCGGCTGCGAGAGGAGCAGAGACAATGAGGGCGGCATGAGGAAGGGATAAGGGGCTCGTGCACGAATGACACAACCAGGGCGACTCAAAAGAAAAAAGAGAAACGGAGAGCAAAGATGAGGCACGGAGGGGCAAGACACCAGCGTTATTCTCTTTCTCTCAGTCATCTCTCGCTGGCCACACTGTCACTCTGGCACTCACAGACCGGCCAGCACTCACACATGTCAGCCAGCACTCACACATGTCAGCCAGCACTCACACATATCAGCCAGCACTCACACATGTCAGCCAGCACTCACACATATCAGCCAGCACTCACACATGTCAGCCAGCACTCACACATGTCAGCCAGCACTCACACATGTCAGCCAGCACTCACACATGTCAGCCAGCACTCACACATGTCAGCCAGCACTCACACATATCAGCCAGCACTCACACATATCAGCCAGCACTCACACATATCAGCCAGCACTCACACATATCAGCCAGCACTCACACATATCAGCCAGCAGCACCAGAGAGCAGGAAAGCTGAGGCGAGACAAGGCAAGGACACTCTCATGTCGTGTTTGAAGTCGTCTCAAAACACTGGGAGAGCAGGAAAGGTGAGGTGAGACAGTGCAAGGGCACTCACATGTCGGCGAGCGTTGTCAAGGATTGAAGGTATGAGGCGAATGTATCAAGGCGGTAGTTGAGGAGATTGCCCTGCAGAGAGCTGTGAGGGGGGCGAGCCGAGGGTGAAGGAGAGGTGTGAGGACAATGTGCTTGGATCGGATGCGAACGTTGGGGCAATGTGTTTGAATGCATCATGGCGCGCTCGCCTAGGCAACTCTACGGAGTTTGGATAGGGAACCTGCTGCTGCGTCAAACCCATTGGCAATGTGCAATGGGGTTGCCTGCTGCGTCTTCCCTATCCAAACGCCACGCAATGCATCATGGCAATTCTACGAAGTGTGGGCAGCCATTGCGTGGCGTTTGGATAGGGAAGACGCAGCAGGCAACCCCACGGGAGGAAGCAGTCCCGTGATGCAGCAGGCGAAGTAGAACAGCCAGAGAGCATGGCAGGCGCAGCGCAACTCACAGGAAGGTGAGAGCTGTGAGCGTGGAGATTTCCGATGGAAGTAAGCCCTTGAGGTTTGAGTTTAATAAGCCTCTGGTGTGCACAACAGTTTGCAGGAAAGTGTTGGGAGGAGGAAACATGCAGATGAGTATGGCACATGGGCAGATGAGCATGGTGCATGCGGTCAAGGCGAAAAAACCCGAATTTATCACACATTATGAGTGAAAATCCCAAAACGGTTGTCACTCGTTAAGCGCCAATCAGTGCGACTCACAGGCTGACGACACTCCCAGTGCTGTCACAGAGCACACCATCCCAGTTTGTGAAAGTGGTGCTCTGCCCCGCGATCTTGCACGGCACTGTGGTATCCCACGTGGTGTAAGTCACGCCCAGCGCAGTCCTGAGGGCGAGCATGGCTGGTGAGGGGCGCGAGGGGAAAGGGCGACATGGCAGGCAGCGGGAGGTGGGGGAAGGAGGCCCAACGGGCTCGTGGAGGGAGGTGCACAGGCCCAGTGGACACAGCAAGCACAGCACCGCACCGCACAGCACAGCACAGCACAGCCTAAACCCTAAACCCCCTGCCTCCTTGCCCTCGCGCCCTGCTCCCGCCCACCTGCGGTGTCCTTGAGAACCACAAGCGGCCCGCCCACGCACGTCCTGGCAAGCGGGGTCGCCAGTGACATGGTCCCCGTGCCGGCAGCGATGGCAGCAGCTGCGTTCGGCGTGCACACTCCTCCCGCCCCCCAGCAAAACGGGGGTGCGCCGTTGGTGGTGGCGCAGAAGGCACAATCCGCCGCAGGCCGCTGAGTCGAACCAGTGCTGCTGCACTTGGAGGGCGTGCCGAGGCAGTTGATGTTGCCGTAGCACGTGGCGACGGTTGGGATGTCTGAGAGGAAGTTGTTTGCGAGGTCCAGAAAGACAACATTGGCGCTGGGCGCAGGCACCGTGCCCATCAGGTAGTTGAAGGGCGCGGAACTGACCACGAAAGAAGACAGCAACAGGGGGGGGGGAGGGGCGGGGCGGCATACAGAGTGGTTCAACAGGATGACAGCGGGAGGGAAGAACGGGAACGGCTCAAAGCAGCACGCACGCAGACACAAGGTGCATGACACCCCCGCCAGGCTAAGGAGTGACTTACAGTGAAACGAGCTTCGGAATGTTCACGAGAAATGAGGGGATCTCCCCGTACAAGTAGTTGACGTGCATGCTTCTGCGAGAGGAGCATAGATGGTGGAGGTGGAAGGTGATGTGAGGCATCGTGTGGAAGGGGCAAGGCTCGTGCAGGCATGACGATTGAGGTGTCACAGAGTAACTTACAATATATTTGTTAAAAACAAAAAAAAAAAAACAAAAAAAAAAGCTGTGCCACTCACATGCCGACCATGCTGTGCCACTCACATGCCAACCACGCTGTGCCTGCCACTCACATGTCGACCAGATTTGGCAAGGATTTCATGCTTGAAGTGAAGGAGGCGATGGGGAAGTTGAAGAAGTTGGACGTCAGCGACCTGCCGGGGAGGGAGGGGCACGCAGGGGGCGCGCAGGGAGGGGCGCACAAGAAGGGCGCGCAGGGAGGGGCGCGCAAGAAGGACGCGCAGGGAGGGGCGCGCAGAGGGTCACGGAGGTGAGGCCGTTGCACCTGACAACCGCTCGTCGCTCGACAAAAAGTTCGGACCACCCAGTTCATTGAAGCAGGCCGAAATAGGAGACGCGTGACGTGATCCAATACAGCATCATGCTGGTTGGAGAGCCATGTGAAAGCGAGTAGAGCAGCATGAGAGTGAAGCAGAAGAGACTCACACTCGGGTGAGAGCCGTGAGCGCAGACATGTCAGCATGAAGTGGCCCCTTGAGGCCCAGGCCGTCCACAGCTCTGATGGACGGACGAGATTGGGCCACGTGTAATGCACAATGCAGGTAGGCAGATGGATTAGTATAGCAACCAGTTGGGGAAGGCAGAGGAACAGCGGTCAGAGGATGCACGCAGGCAATCGAAACAGACGACGATTGAGACACGGCGTGGTGTGGGTGAGGCGGAGGCGTGGGTGAGGCAGATGTGTGGGTGAGACGGAGGCATGGGTGAGGCAGAGGCGTTGACTCACAATAAGACCACCTTGCCGTCGCTGTTGCACCACACCCCGGTCCATTCAGTGGCGAAGGCCACCGAGCTTCCAAACACGTGGCACGGAGAGTTGGCGGCCCACGTGGTGAAGGTCACACCCAGCGCGCTCTTGATGTTCAGCATGGCGGCGGCTGCAGGGCAGGGCAAGTGGGGCAGAAAGAGCACAGAGGAAGCTCATGTGAAGTGAGGAGGTGAAGGTCACACCCTGCGCGCTCTTGATGTTCAGCATCGCGGCGGCTGCAGGGCGGGGCAAGTGCAGTTGCCCGGCAATGCGGCGAGGCGCAAAGGGAACTCATGAGACGTGGACGGCGGACGGGTGGTAAGCGAGAGTGGTGGGTGGTGGAGCAGAGCAGAAAGCACCAACACTGGACTGCACTGCATGGTGCGTGGGTATAAAACGAACGCGTAGGCAGAGAAGGACCACTGACCGTCATCAATGTCCATGTAGGTGGGGATGTTAGCGCATCCCATCAAGTTGATATCACTCGCGTAGTTATTTGTTCTCGATGAGATCAGCGAATCAGCGTTCGGCTTGCATCCTTGCCCCGGGCTACACAGCGTGCCGGTGCCGTCCGTGCTGCCGCAAATAGCGCACGAGGCGCGCTGGGTCCCGCTGCACTTGCCCAGGTTGGAGAAGCAGTTAGTGGTGACGCCGCAGTACTCCCAGGCTTTAACGGGAACGGTGCCTGTGAAGAAGTTGCGAGTGAAGTCAATGCGCTTGAGCTTGGTGACGGTTGATGGCAGCGAGCCCGAGAGGAAGTTGGCACGTATAGACCTGTGGGGTACAGCACGCATAGTTGGCGGGTAAACTAAGGTGGAGAGAGCGAGAAAGTGGGCGTGGGTGAGTGTGTGAGTGAGTGAGTAATTGAGAGTGAGTGTGATTGGGTGACTGATTGTAGTGAGTGAGTGGAGTGAGTAGGATGAGTGAGGGAATGGGGGAACGGGAGGACAAGGGGTGAAGAGAGGCCGCCGGAAAGGCGTTAGGTAGGGGTAGAGATGGTGAGCTTTGGCGTATGCAGTAAAAGGGTGATGGCTGCTGCGGCCCCAAAGTGTCCCCTTGATAGCACAGCGCTGCGCTCGTCCTCACGATACCGTCATTCTATACTTACAAGGATGTCAGGCCGGGCAGGTTCGCAAGCATGCTCGGAAATGTCCCGGAGAAATACATGTAGTTCATGTTTCTGGCGGAACGGGGGAGACAGGGATGCATAGGGACAGCGAAGATACGCAGATAATGTAGCGCATTGGGACTACGCAGCCAGGGCTGTTAGCTTGAGGCGTCGATGTGCTTTTAATCGATCAAGGCGCGAGCGAGAGCAGCATAAAAACGAAAGCAGGGCCACGGGGATGATCTCTCACATGCCAACTATGTTGGTGTTGGACTTGAAGTATTTGAGGTACTCAGCGAGGCTGCCATCCAGGAAGTTATATGGCATCAACCTGCACGCAGCAGCCCACACGATCGCAGTGAGCCCGCATCCACGGCATCCACACTTGAAAGCAGCAGCGCGTGTCACACATGGAACGCGCAGCGATGCCGCCCGCATGCATGCCCAGGGACGTGCACGACAGTCAAGCGATCCTAGGAGAATCCTTGCAGCAGAGAGCACTTACAGATAGCGAAGCTCCGAGAGCTTGGAGACGTCTGACGGGAAGCTCCTCCGCGTGATGGACCAGCCTTCCAGGTTGCTGCGAGCATCAACGCGGCAGACACGCGGCAACTTAGATGGACTGAACGACGCAGGGAACAGTGAGGCAGTGCATGAGAGGAAGCTTGGATGAAATTCGCCGCAACACCTTACCTTCTCGCCGCGTGCGGCGCGGCACTCACATCGTGAAGACGTTGCCGTTCGTATCGCAGTTGATTTGGCCCCAAAGTGTACCGGGCGGAGAGGTGCCGTCATCGCAATGATTGGCGGGGTCCCAGTCAGTGAAGCGGCTGAGATCCAAGGCCGTCTTGATGGCCATCATGGCCGCCGCTGATGCGCGCGGGAGAGAAGAGGAAAGAGGGGGAAAGGGGAGGGGAAGCACGAGTGCGCTTCTATCATTGCGGAAGAAAACAAGCAAGGAACGGTGTGAGGAAATGGAGCAGGGAAGTAACAACACTCTGAGCTCTTCATTGGGCAAATCTTGAGAAGAGCGTCCTAGTGCGAATCATAAACTGTGCAAAAATCCCTCTATATTCTTCCGCCAAAAGGTCTTGCAGATTAGGTGGGCTCGGTGTGGCGATGGACGAGCCAAATGGCCCGGGATGGGGACGAAGCCCGATGAGTCTTCGAATCAACAAAATGCAGCAGGTGCAAATGAACACTTTGACGCTGAACGTGTGTGGCTCCACCACAGTCAACTCTCAAGGATGATACTACGAGATGATTCAGGTGACTAGGGTTTCTACCTTGATCGGGCTTAAGAAGAACGCTAGCGACGCCGTGAAGTTGGGTAGACAGCACTGCGAGCACGACCATTGCCACGAGGCACACATGCTTCGAGCCTGAGGTCGCCATGGCGACCATCATGCGCGGCGCCGCTCTTCCCGGCTAGACTACCAGTGGACGACTGTTAGTCTGGCGATTCAGTACCGCTGTTACGGCACAAAAGTAGGAAAAAAACTGTAAGTAAGCGAGAAGAACCGCGGCGGCGAAAGCTGGTGACTCGTATACAGCCGTTTGCTGCGGTGCTCCTTCCGTTTGTACTAATAGCAACGAACGGAGTCTGCCAGATGATGAAGAAACGCGGTGAAGGTGATTTCGGCTACGCGGAGGACATGATCGTCGCTGGACCATCATGCGGATAGGTGGTGCTAGGCTAGACATGCCAACAGTTGCCGCGCAATGCCGCGAAGCCTGTGTGGCTTGGATCCCAGTGGAAGGTGACCTGTGGGGGAATGGATCTGTTGGAAAATAGCGTCAGGAGAGAAGCTAGCCTCACGAAACCATCGACACGGGATAAGATTGCAGGCGTTTCGTGAGGAAAACAATTTTTTTATGTCAGCACGTTCGCTAAACACGTTCTTGGTACCTAAGTCGCCGAGGTTATTCACGCGGAATAACAATTTAATTTCGCACCTCTAGCGCCGCTTACCATCCGGTCACTGCCGTTACGGCGTGTTGCAATTCGCGGTGCACTGCATCGGCTCGGCTCGTGGCACGGGTCTAGGAAGGCTCGAGGAAATCAAGGTTCCGTAAAATTTTACAGAAAACATGTGGATTTTTTATATTCATTCTTGTAAAAACTTTATAACCTTGGCAAATAACTCTTGTAATCAATCTTTGATATTCTTTCTTTGCCGAATCATTGCCCGAATTTGGACCCCGCCTGCTTGGAGCCTTCCTTTCGTCCCGTGCCGACGCAGTGCATCGCAAATTGCAACACTCCGTAAGGTAGGGTTTCACTGTGTCTTGTTTAGGATGTGGAATGTGAGGACGCTCGGGATCTGGACCACTAGAATAAGGACAAAGGCGCTGCACTTGTTGAGAACAACCACCATATGGAGCATTAACTGCCTCGATGAACATTCCCTCCCACACTCCAAACGCTTTTGTCCGACTGGTTCCTGATGGGTTCGAGTTTCAAGTTTTCTCTTGAGGGGGTACAGACACCATATGGAAATTTGGCCACCACAGAGGGAGTTCCTTCTTTTTCTTAGGATTCAAGTATAAATGTAACGTATGCTACAAATTTTAGGAGCTGGATGTTTGGACAACCATTCTCAGTCCAGTCTTGTTTTAGAAATCCCTGACAGGAGAAACAACTGTCTGGGTCATTCTTAGCAGGGGAAGTAGGCCAGACCATCGCTGGTGCCGAACTGATGGTGTCCAGAACTGGGGAACGCCCTACAAGCCATCGAGGTATGAGTCCGACATCCACCGAAAATACATCGGTGTATGTGTTCCAAGTACACTGGCTGCATCCTAGATCGACCATACATTGCTCATCTGGACCACACGGTGCGCGATGCATGCTGTTTCTGGAAAGGGAGGCTGGTGGTGGACGCAAGCGAATCCTGACAGAAGTCAGAGTTCAGAAAGGCTACACACAGAAAGCACTGAGGCAAGTTCGGGTTTCCAGTTACTGTATTCAAGAACCGTTGATTTGGATCACGTGCTTCTAGGAAGTTTTGTCTCTTTCTTTACACGCTTTTGGCTCATTCGATCCTCAGCCTAGACACACATGGCGATCTAACACGTGGCGCATTTTTAATGGTCGAATGTAATGTTACCCCTGATTGCAGGGTTACCGCGTCACAGAAACTGGAGAAACTCCGTCATTTCGTGAGAAGGTGTCTCAACTGCGCGAGTCTGCGCTTGTCCGGTGCGGACCTGGAGAGCCAGCTCAAAAAACCACCGCGTGAAGTGAACCAGCAGCGGACGTGACCAGAATGCGGGACTTGTAACCCAATCATACCTATTGTTATGAGTTTTACTGGACAGAGTGCGCGGAAAACTTTACAAAGAATACGTGATTACAGAATGATGAAACAATAAAGGAAACGAGCATTTATAGGGCGAAAACGTTGTCAGAATGTTGTAATTGTCTAGCCTGCAGTGGGGTACTCTATAGCGAGTACAACCCAAATTAGGGTTTCCTATATGTACCTTGCATGCTGCTAGTACAAACCCTCTTCTCTGTTCTATCTTTCCTTCCACTATCTCGATATGGTAACAGAGCGTTCACGCTCCTGGCCTGTGGGCCCCACTGCTGCTTCCGCTGCCCTACTCTGTGTCGCGCGCCCCGTGGCGCGCGACCTTCACATTTTCATCCCGCCGCGCGCTCGGGGCGTGCGGCGGTTTTCTCCCCGCCGTGCGCACCGAGGCGCACGGCGGTTTCCTACCGTGGGGGACGCCCGCGGCCCCCCGATCCCGTCGCCCGCGGCCCCGCGATCCCGTCGCCCTGGGGAGCCGCACGCGACCCCCCGCGGCCCCGTTTTCCCGTCGTGCCGCCCTGGGGAGCCGCGCGCGACCCCCCGCGGCCCCGATTTCCCGTCGTGCCGCCCTGGGGAGCCGCGCGCGACCCCCCGCGGCCCCGATTTCCCGTCGTGCCGCCCTGGGGAGCCGCGCGCGACCCCCCGCGGCCCCGATTTCCCGTCGTGCCGCCCTGGGGAGCCGCGCGCGACCCCCCGCGGCCCCGATCTCCCGTCGCGCCGCCCTGGGGAGCCGCGCGCGGCCCCTCGCTGCCCCGTGGTCGCGTTCTGGGGGCCGAGCGCCGTCCCCCTCGCCGTCCCCCGCGCTCCTTCCCCCGTTCCGCCCGTTTTTAGGGTTTGGGGGTGCGGAGTGTGGGGGTGGCAGCTCTGGGGGTGCCGTGTGTGTGCGCCGTCCCCTGCTCCTCCTCCTCCTCCGTCTCCCACTGCTGCAGCTGCCGCTGAGGGGGGTGGATGTGTGGGAGCCGAGGTTTAGGGTTTAAGGGGGGTGTCGTGGAAGTGGAGCTAGGGTGTCAGCAGGGGGTGTGTGAGAGGGGCGTGGGACGGTCGGGGGAGGTTGCGTGGAGGTAGCCGTCGTGACGCCAGCAGCGCCAGTAGTCCGGATGCCCTCGCGCGTTTCGGTAGCCCAGCGAGCCTGTGGGTCAGTTGCTCCTGTGTGTGCTCGTCGTAGCCGCGGAGCCAGATACTCCCGTAGTCCGGTGCCCTCGTGCGCTCGGTAGCCACTGTGCACGCCGCTCCTGTTGCCCGTTGTGTCTGCAGCTTCGCCCATCGCCTGCAGCAGATCGCCCCTCACAGTCTCTCCTCCTCCTCACTTGCCCTCTGTGACTGCCTCTAGCTTTACTTGCATTTGTGGACTTGATCTATGACTGGTTATTTGTGCTGATTACACCCCACTTTGGCTATGGGGGTGTGTCAGAATGTTGTAATTGTCTAGCCTGCAGTGGGGTACTCTATAGCGAGTACAACCCAAATTAGGGTTTCCTATATGTACCTTGCATGCTGCTAGTACAAACCCTCTTCTCTGTTCTATCTTTCCTTCCACTATCTCGATAAACGTGCTAGGCGAGGACCTCGTGATGTGGTGGCTCGGGAATGTCGCAATTGGTGCGGGGCGACTCGGGGCTGGTTCGGTGCGAAAGTGTAGGCCGAGCCACACTGACGCGAACTGCTCGGGGCTGTCCTTGCTAAGGACAGTTCTACAGTAATGAATTGCACATTCATTACACTCTCCCACCTTCTAAATAAGGTGCCCTTATATGTAGGCGAGTCTTGCAGTAGCGTGAAAACTGCAGATCTCGGTCGAAAATCGATCTGACGGCACGGAAGCGTGTTGACTTTCGAGTTGACGCGTGGCTGAGCGCGTTGACCAGGCGAATTTCAAAGAGTTGGGATGTCAGCCGTTGATTCTGCCGATGTCGATCGGGCGGTTGAAAGCGAATATCGATTTGAAATCTTTCGACGAAAGAAAGCCGTTGATGTAGCGGATATGTTTCGGACGGCAGGGATGAACGCGATGTCTGGCGGCGGCTCTGACGCATGTCAGCAAACGAGGAGTCCGAAGCCGTCGATGTCGTTGAAGCTTATCGCGAGCGTCCGTCGTGCAGAAGCTGTCAGACGAAGTGTCAGAAAAACTGACAAGTACAGTGCGAGAGCACTCCTTCTCCCCATCTGAAGATAATTGCTGCCCACCGAAATGTGCACAGCTGCGCAGGCCCAAAACCACAAACCACCCTATACGCCGAAGGTAAAACAGAATACCAGATGTTTTGACTTTCCGCCTGAAATTCAGCCGCTGTGCTGTCGAAATAGCTGTCGGTGGCGAAAATCATTGTGTTGACCTGTTAGAACTCTTCAGGGTAACCTGCGAAGTCCCTTTTAAGGGGTAAAATCGTTGAGCACTGGGACTTGAAACCCTTGGAAACAAAATTTTCTGCAGAAAACAATCTTCTTGTCTTGTAGTCGCGATTGCTGCAGAATCTCCCGTGACTGCCACCTCGAAATCCCTCGCGTGGCAGTACCGAATCAATTTATTGCTGCCGAATCTCCAATT